AAATCTTCATGTAACAAGAAGAAAGAAAGCTGATCATTAGTTGATATGTGGCTCTGTTGTTCAATTCTGTGAGAATCAACAGTATTCTTGAGGAACTCGTGTGTGTGTGTGTATTTGGGTGTGTGTGTGTGTTTAGTTTGGGGTCACACTTAGTACAGATTCTGGCTTTGTGCTCCAGGATGCTGGGGATTCAAACCAGGGTCTACTGGTTTGAATGCAAGATAAGTGCCTGAATCCCTGCATTCTCCAACTCTGAAACTTGTATTTTTTGTTTTGAGTCCATACCTGGTGCTCAGGGTTTACTCCTGGGGGTGGGGGGGCTTGAGGGACCATATGGGGTCCCAGGATTGAACCCATGTCAACTGCATGCTGGGCAAGCACCCCTACTGGCTCTCTGGCCTCATGAAACTTGCATTTTATTTAGGGGCCACACCTGGCAGTGCTCAGAGAGTACTCCTGGCTCTACACTTAGGGATCATGCCTGGCTGGCTTGGGGAGCCATAGGGGGTGCTGGGGATCAAACCCAGGTCAGTCACATGCAAGGCAAACACCCTACCTGCTGTACTACTGTCTTAAACTTGCCTTTTAAAAGTGATAAGAGGAGGCTGGAGAGATAGCACAGCCGGTAGGACGTTTGCCTTGCACGCAGCCAACCCGGGTTGATTCCCAGCATCCCATATGGTCCCCTGAGCACCGCCAGGAGTAACCCCTGTGCATCACCGGGTGTGACCCAAAAAGAAAAAAAAAGTGATAAGGAACAAAGCAAAATGTTCTAGTGGTATCACTGCAAAGAAATTTGTGATTTTTTGGTCTTGGGGTCATACAAGGGTACGTGGGGACATATTTGGAGTCAGTGATCCAATCTGGGCCTCCTACATGCAAAGCATATGCTCTGACCCATCTCTCTTCTCTTTCTCTATCTCTCTCTCTCATCAGAAAAATGACATTTTGGAGGCTGGAGTGACAGTACAGCAGGTAGGGCATTTGCCTTGCACGTGGTCAATCAGGGTTCAATCCCCAGGACCCCATATGGTCCCATGAGAACCGCCAATTTCTAAGCATAGAGCCAGGAATAACCCCCAAGCATTGTCAGATGTTACCCCAAAATCAAACAAAAGACTTTTTTTAAAGAGAAAAAACCCTCTTACTTCCTAAATGGTAATCATATACAAGGCATAATTCTAACACAAGGCCTGAAGCAACAAATGCTTGATAAACACAGAGGTGAGATATGTACAACTACTGACTAGTTATTCTCAGTTCTTAAGGCGCCCAGGCTAGGTTCTTCCAAGCCTCCTTAGACATCATCCTCCCCCTCACTGCCATCAGGGCCAATCTCAGAGAACTGTTAGCGGTTCTCTGTCTCACTGTTAGTTCCCCAACAATTCTTTCAAGGTGACTTGCCTGTGCTTGCCTGGAACTGATTTCCCATTCGTCTAACCCCGAGGGTTCCTTTCTGGTCTACTCCAACATGAGCTCCTCTGTTTTCACTTAGTGCATGTGGAAATCACCTAGTTATCCTATCAGCTCAGCAGCAGACCCAAGTGGCCAGTCGCAGTACCACATAGGGTACTGGGGACTGAACAAGGATCAGCTGCATACAAGCTAAACCCCTATCCACTGGACTAACTCACCAGTTTAATTCATCAAACGTACCAGGTAAGTAGATGTTTTGCCTCCTGGCACCTCCTTCTGAGCTCACGTGCAGTTCTGAGGAATGAGGGCCTGAAAACAAGCCTCAACCCCAGCTTCACTCACTCTGGCTGCAGGTCCCTTCCCCCACCCTGGTGTGCCAAGGTGCTGCTAGAAATCCTAGGCTCTAGCATGGGTGCGGGAGAGAGACGTTTGGGTTTCATAAAAGCCTCTTCTGTCTCTCTGCTTAGAGCTGAACTCTTCGAAGCCCGCTTCGAGATAACAATCTAATGATGGATAAAGCAGTCATTAAAACTGAACTGAAAAGCAAACCTTTCTTTGGCTAGATGATTATCTACTTGGAGTTTATTACCGACTTGAAGTTCTTCCCAACCCCATCCTGCTTTCGTTCTTGATTTCGTAAGGTGTACTTTGAATTGTGTGTGAGAAGACCAGAAATGGGCGCTTAAGTTTAAAAAAGCAATCAAGGGCTGGAGACAGTACAACGGGTAAGGTGTTTGCCTTCCAAGGGTTCCACCTGGGTTGGATCCCCAGCACCCCACATGGTCCCTTAAGTCCACCAGGAGTGATCCTTGAGCACAGAGCAAGGAGTAAGCTCTGAGCACCGGCAGATGTGGATGGAAATAAAATTAAATTAAAACAAAAAAGAGTCAAAGTTCATGAGATCATATAATTTGCTGTTAGTAGTAACAGCTTTAGGAGAAAAATGTAAGGTGCTTGGAATAAAGCAAGAACCTATCTTCTTCACCTACCAAAATTCCAAAGACAGGCCATTTACCATCTCTATTGAAATACTCTACTTAGACAGTAAAACTGTAGCATTGTCCTCCCGTTGTTCATGGATTTGCTCGAGAGGGCACCAGTAGTGAGAGACTTATTGTTACTGTTTCTGGCATATTGAATACATCATGGGGAGCTTGCCAGGCTTTGCCTTGCGGGCGAGATACTCTCGGTAGCTTGCCAGGCTCTCAAGAGGGGCAGAGGAATCAAACCCTGATCAGCTGTGTGCAAGGCAAACACGTTACCCGCTCCAGCCCCTACTTAGACAATGTAGTAAATTTTTATTATGCTCTGAAAATTACAGTCATCTGGAAATTAAGAGTTTACACCTCACAAAATTATATAAGCAGTGGAACAAAGGATCCAGTTGGTTCTGAACTGCAACAAAGAGACTGCGAGGATCACAAACATAGTTCAATAGGCTGCACACACACTTTGTCTGCTGAAGACCCAGGTTCAGTTCCCAGCACTGAACATCACCAACTGCTGGGATCAGCTACTGAGCACAGAGCCAGGAATAGTCCCTAAGCACCGAACATGGTAAAACAAGATTTTTCAGGTCTTTGCATTCAATTTCAGTAACACTGTATACTTTACTTTTTGGATATCTATTATTAGATAAAAATTATATAGCAGAGGATGGCATTACCAATTCTTAAACAAGGAGGGTTACTGGTTCAACAAAACTAACCTTTCAGGGTGTGTACCTTACACACACTCGACCCTGGTTTGAGGTATGGTCCTGGAGTCCCCCAAGCGCTGCTGGGGTAGTCTTGAGGGTTCCTGGCACCACAGGAGCCTAGCACTGAACCTTCAGCCCAGTTGGCTGAGGATTGCCTGGAGTAACAGCCAGGTCTCTAAGCACCTCTTGGGAGGAACAAAAAAGATTTAAAAACAAAATTAACAACATCATCAACAACAAAAATATGATAATGTCCCAAATCAAGCAAGTCCTCCTTATGATAAAGTTAACTGAAACTGCCTTTAATTGCTTGGGTAGAGCTTCCTGATGGAAAGGGGGTTGGGACAACGAGGTTCTTTCTGGAACTGACTGGTGAGAAAGACCCAGGATTTTTTCTGCAATCATTAGATGGATCAGTTAGAAGTCAGGTTTAGGGAAGACCCCACACATACAACCTCTCTGACCCATCTCCTGTCCCTCTGATGACTCCTCCCTCCCCATCTAATCCATCCATCTGCAGATGATAGTAGGGAGATCACTTCAGCCCTTTCTCCCCATTTAAAACATTAAATACAAAGGTCTGTTTCAGATCTAAGACTTTTGTTATTTTGTTATAGACTTTTGGTTATAGACTTCTGTTGACTGTACATTCAAGCAACATGTAGGAGTGACAACCAGCTTTTTTTTTTTTATGCTTTTTGGGTCACACCCGGCAATGCACAGGGGGTTACTCCTGGCTCTGTACTCAGGAATTACTCCTGGCAGTGCTCAGGGGATCATATGGGTTGCTGGGAATCAAACCCAGGTTGGCCGCGTGCAAGGCAAACGCCCTACCCTCTATGCTATCACTCCAGTCCCAGCTCTCATTTTTATGAGGGGAAGAGAGTATTATTTTGCAAAGAGAAGTCTGAAGTAATGTGTTCACAAGAAGGTAGAGAATATGGGTGATAGAGGTCAAAGATTTAATAAAGGGGTTCAGTTGCTTCCTTGAATGCAGCCGAGCCCAGTTCAACCCCATCACCACCAGCAGTGATCCTTGAACACATGGGCAGTAGTCCCCGAGCTCACTAGGTGTGACCTTCTCCACCATAACGGACAGAGATGCTAGTTTTTGCTTAGTGTAAACTTAACATAGTTAAGGGAGCTCCTTGACACGGACTTGGAAACAAAAGCATTTCTACTTCATAGGGTGAATTATAGTCTACGCACATTCCTGCTCTTAAAGTGTAAATAACTTACGCTGTATAAAGGAGTTTCTTTTTATTGGGGGGCCACACCCAGCGGTTTTAGTCCTGGCTCTGTACTCAGAGGTCACTCCTTGAAGTGCTCAGGGAACCTTATGTGGTGCCAGGGATTGAACCTGGGTCAGCTACGTGCCAAGGCAAGCACTATTCCCACAGTACTATGGCCCCTAAAGGAACTTCTTTTACTAGGACTCAAGAAAACTAAATTCCACTCTTAGGGAAAAACAAGTACAGAACACTAAGAGGAGGATACAAAATCTCTTCCCATTTCCTTAGGCACAGATCCAGCCTACCAGAAAAAGTCTAAACAAGCTAGTTGGCTTACTACTTCACCATGCATGAATATCCAGTGATATTTTATGACCTTTGGTTTATTGGGCATGGCTGAGCTCCACTGAGTTAGAGAAAATGGAAATGATCAGACAATGTGTATTTCTCTCAAAAACCTATTTTAGAGGCTGGAGCAATAGCACAGCGGATAGGGCGCTTGCCTTGCACGCGGCCGACCCGGGTTTGATTCCCAGCATCCTATATGGTCCCCTGAGCACCACCAGGAGTAATTCCTGTGTACAGAGCCAGGAGTAACCCCTGTGCATTGCCGGGTGTAACCCAAAAAGAAAACAAAAACAAAAACAACCTATTTTGACACACAAAGCTTACTATCTCAAGTCTCTAATTGGTAGAATTCCAGGCAGAGTAATGAAAGTTACCCCCCCCCCCAAAAAAAAAGCAAGTCAGGTTGAAAATGAGTATTGGGAAATACAGAATCAACTTGCAAGTATATAGTATCTGTAGGACATTTTTATTTTCCAAGCTTTCCTCCTTTTACCTAATTCTTTTTTTTTTGTTACTGTTTTTTTTTTTTTAATTTAGCTAATAAAGTTAGCCCAGAAATCTTCCAAAGAATGCCACTGAAGAGCCCTTTTTGGTGGGAACCAGTGGTGTGGCAGAAAGATGTAGATAGAAATATCTTTCAGTTCACTTTTTTTTGAGGCCACACCCAACTGTGCTTCCGGCAAATGCCCTACTGCTGTACTATCATTCTGGGCCTAAGAAATACCTTCAGTTTGTGTGTTGTAAACCACACCTGGCTTTGCGCTCAGGGGTAAGACCCATGCAAAGCATACACTCTCCCAAAGTGGTCAGCAGAGACAGGGGAGGAGGGATGGCAGCAGCCTCAACCCAGCTGGGGTCAGGGTGAGGGTAGGGGGAGGTATAATTTCCGTCTGCTTCAAGAAGGTAGATTCGTAGGAGGCCAGACTAAAAATTCTTCTGAAAAGATGGCAGGAGGGTAATTAAGTTGGGGAACCTCTGTCCCGCCCTTTGTGCCAGGCCCCCCGGAGCAAAAGGGAAAAAATTTACAGAGAAAAAGATGGTAGGTACACAAGGGTGTCATGTCTCAAGGAAGTTACTTTCAACTGGCATTTAGCAGTCACTGTTTATAAATTAAACTACCCGAAACTCCTGTGACAAACTCTGAAATAACTGACCCATGATAATTCTGTTAAATAACTAGAGTATAATAAAAAGGAAGTTATTAGCTAAGTTCCATCAATTTGTTTTAACTCGCTTTGACTTTTTCTCTTGGTCTTCTGTTATCTTTTCTGCAGGTCGCTTCTTCAACCCTTTCATTTTCCTGGTTTGTAGTTTACTTAGATCTTGCTTCTGCATGTGAATCCTTCCATAAGTCGTACCAAAAGTATCATGGGAGATATTTTTCTTCTTCTTTGGCTACGAAATAAAATTAATGACCTGTATTATCATGAACTGGCAAATATCTAATATACAACTACATTACTAAAAATTTTCATTAGTGACAACCCCCCCTTCAATGCCCAAGAAGATTCTCCTTTTTTTACCCCCTTAAAAAGTGGTAGTCTTGGCTACCAGAAAGTTCTTAGTCACACTTGAAGCCTGACAGTCTTATCTAGTCTGCATCCCAATAAACCTTTCTTCTCAAACCAAGTGCAAAAGTATCATTTGAAGATCTTGTGAAAACTAGGTCTAATTCAGTGGTTGTAGAATGGGACTGGAACATTTTTCCCCCCTTTTTTGGGGAGACACACCTGGCTATGCTCAGGGCTTACTCCTGGCTCTGTGCTCAGGGATCACTCCTGGTGGGTTCAGGGGACCATATGAGATGCCAGGCATCAAACCCAGGTAGGCCACCTGCAGAGCAAGCACCCTACTCACTGTACTATGACTTCAGCCCCAAGACTCAGCATTTCTATGAACTCCCAGGTATACCGTCTGACCACACTCTGAAAAGCAACACCAGGGACTCCAATAGCCACTGCCATGAGGAGAAAACAGCTCCGTGTTTACTTAAGGATTTGTGACCAGCATTGTCACTGCCACTGGCATTTCTACTTGCTTTATAAAACCATTCAGAAGCTAAATCACATTTAGCAAAATATGGGTTACATAGTCTTTGCTCGAAATCACCATTCTTCACATGCCCAGTCTTTTTCAATGCCCAAGAAGATTCTCCTTCCCCCCACCCCCAAAAAGTGGCAATCTTGGTTCCCAGAAAGTTCTTAGTCATACTTGAAGCCTGACAGGTTTCTCTGACTTTTTGCTGCTTCTTATTCACAGTTCCAAGATCTAGTTTTACCTACCCTACTGATCTCTTTATATGACCTCTAATGTAGAATGTCATATATTCTTTTCAGAAAGAAAAAGGAATATATAAGTAACCACAATGCCATTCTGCATGTTACATACCTTGAGGGCTTTGGGCACTTTCATAGCTAACTTATAAAGGTCATCTGAAGCTAGATGTGTCCTCCTCAGAACCAAATCTAATGAGGGTCCCATCTCTTCCAACTCGACCCGTGGTGTTTTGCAGCCGGATTTCAACAGCAACCTTTATAAAATATAAAAAAGAAATGTTATGTTGACCTGGATAAAAGATAAAAGCCCAAAACATTTTGTTGAATTATAGCCCCACAAAATGATATAAAATGTTTAGAAAGGTTGTGCTTCTTAAAACACTCTGCATAGGGCCCAGAGCAATAGTACAGCAGGTGGGGAGTTTGCCTTGCACACAGCTGAGCTGAATCCAGGTTGAAGGGTTGAATCCTATGTTCAATCGCCAGCATCCCATATGGTCCCCTGAGCAGTACCGCCAGTAGTAATTCCTGAGTGCAGAGCCCAAGAGTAACCCTTGAGCATCACTGGGTCCAACCCAAAAACAAACAAAACAAAACAACACTGCATATTTTATTTATCCTGGCAATGAAATTTCTGAAAAGTAATAAAGCCACCAGTCTCAAATTTGACCCACTTGGTATATACAGAAAATAAGACTGACCTGATAAGACCTTCTCCAGTAGCAGACCCTGAGGAGGCTGGATGCCTTCCTACAGAAAAGGCCTGAAGGAAATTACTAGATTCCTCGATTCCTTCCTTTAATCTGATTTACCCTCAGCTAGCCCAGACCAGAGAAGGCTGGACCCACCATCCCAGAGAAGATCCAGCAGGAACAAAGTTCAAGAAAAAGAGTTTCAAAGAGGGTCATCAACCACTCCCAACTCTAATCCCTTGGCAACAGCCCTCGAAATGGAACTCATACTTAGGTAAAAAAAAAATCCCCCATGTTTGGCGGATTGGAGAAATCCTATAAAAGCCACCTTGTACGAAGGAAAGGTGCCCATATGCTGCCCAAGCCCGTGTGCTGCTTATGTCAAGCACATGTGTCACCCGCATCTCCCTTCTTGAAATGTGAACTCTCATGCTTTCATATTTAATGCTGGGATGTGTATAGAGGCTCTCTCCACCTTTGGAGAAGTCCTCATTCTCTCTCTCTCTCTCTCTCTCTCTCTCTCTTTCTCTCCCTCCTTCCCCTTCCTAAAAGACTACAAATAAAATCTGTTTTACTTCATTGCCCGTCTACTCCTGAAATTCTCTTCTGTGAGGCAAGCCAAGAACCCAGTTACCCTGGGTAAGGCCTAGGACTGACTCTCCTTTCCTACAAAGAGCAATTCTTCATCCCAACGTGAGTATGTGGCTCCCCGAGAAATCAAGGTGGCAGGGATCAACTGCTGTGTGGTGTGGCTTGATGGCCACCTCTCAGGGTTGGAGGACTCTGAGCAGAGGCTTTATCAATCCTCAGGATGGCAGAGGCGGATCTGGAGAAAGTGACCGTCTATCTCCTCTCTGGTCACATGAGCCACCACCTACTTCCTAATAATGACACAATACTATTCTCTTCTACTTTCAATGCTGCTACACTCTGCCCAGCACCAGAGTCCAGTGTGCCGGAATGTTTATACTATCCTGAGGTGTGTGTCGTGTCCCGTGTGTCGTTCTGTGCCCCTCCCCCGCAGCTGTTTCCCCTGCCCTTCCCCTTCCCATCCCTGTCACTGCTCTACTGACCTTATCTCAGGGTTGTTTCCACTGGGATGGTCTAATCCCTTGTTTTGTTTCATTTATACTCTGCACAATAAGTGAGATGATCTGGTGTTTGTCTTTTCTTTTCTGGCTCAATTCACTAAGCACTTCCTCCAATTAGATCCAAGGCACAGCAAAATGCACCCTTTCCCATAGCTGACTAGTATTACACCGTGTGTGTGTGTGTGTGTGTGTGTGTGTGTGTGTGTGTGTGTGTGTGTATCAGGATTTCTTTTCTCTTCTCTCCCTTTTGTTTTGGGGCCACATCTGGGGATAAAACGGGTCTGCCACATGCAAGGTAAGTGCCTCATCCTTATGCTATTTCTCTGGTCCCTACACCACAATTTCTTGAGCTACTCATCTGCTGCTGTTATTGACACTTGGGTTACTTCTAACTTATCTGTTTACATGATTAAGAAATTCTCTGTTTTTATTGGAGGGAGAGAGGGGCACCATACCTGCAGTACTCAGGACTTATTCCTGGCTCTGCACACCCTTGGCGAGCTTGGAGGAGTACATGGGATGCCAAAGATAGAACCCAGGTAGGCCAAGTACAAGGCAAACCCTATCCACTGTACATCTCTCTGACCCAATTCAAGTTTCTCAAAGAGCTACTCAGAATCAACTTTTCTCTTTAGCACAGACATTAGCAGATCTCTATAGATTGGAATGAATTTAAAATCTTAATAAAACCACAACTTTCTGGACACCATATGTCCAATTAGTGGCAAAATTTTTTGTGAGTGATACCACAGAACAGCTGGAAAGCCTGAATGTGAGCTGAAATTCATTTTTGTAACAGTGGCGAGATTGCCACACGGTGGCGGGGGGGGGTGGGGTGGAAAGAGGGTAATATAAGAGTGTTTATGAAAGAAGAGAAAGCAAAGTAAGGAAAACTTGAGAGCAACAAACACCAGAGAGCAGAAATAAATGTGCAGAAGCTCACTAAGATCTCTTTGGGGCTCATTTCCCTGCAGATGGCAAACCAATATAGCTCCACCCACAGGCTGTGCACTTACTGGGGTTGTAGGAAAAGTCACAGCAATAGATATGCTAAAATGGACATAGATACCCAACTGAGTAAAAGAAGCAGAAGTGTTTAATTTAAAAATTAAATGGGGATGGAGTAAAAGCACGGGGGGGGGGGGGGGGAGGAGAAAGAGCATTTGCCTTGCACAGAGCTGACCCAGATTTGATCCCAGGCATTTTATATGGTCCCCCAGGCACCACTAGGAGTAATTCTCAAGCAGAGCCACAAGTAACTTCTGAGCATCATTGGGTGTGGACCAAAACCAAAAACAAACAACGACAAAACCCCCAGCATCCTTAATGTACTAAGTACTATCCCAGCAGCTCTGTGCTGTGTGGTAGGGTGCCATAGGCAAATGCTGGTTGCACCACAGCCAGGAAGATGTAAGCAGCACAGGAGGGCGTGTGACCCCTGGCAAGCGGCATAAAAGATGTGCCAATGAAACAATGCAGAAAGGCAGCCTCTGGAAAGTACAGCAACACCGGCACCATTAGAAGTGATCCCGAGCACTAGCAATATGGCCCCCAAGCCCAGAAGAATCCATCACCATACTTAAAACCACAACCATAACTTCTGCGCCTCCACTAAGAGCATCATGCCCAGTGAACGCATTTGAAAGCACAATTAAAGGAGCACAAACCCCAAGGGCACTGCAGTCAAGAACGGGAGCCCCACAACCTCAGTGTGACTTCCAGCATATCCACAACAAAATGAAGGGAAAGGGGCCTTCTGGTGGTGCTTAGGGGACAGCCAACCGGCTGAACTCAGGCTCTGCATTCGGGAGGACCAGGTTCAATCCCCAGTACTACATGATCCCCTAAAGCACCACCAAAAATAAACCCTGAGCACTGAGCCAAGAAGGACCCGAGTACTGCCACATGTGACCCAAAGTCCTCAAAAAGGGAGGGCAGGGCCAGAGAGATAGTAACAGTGGGTAGGGCGCTTGCCTTGCACACAGCTGACCCAGGTCCAATCCCCAGCTTCCCAAAAGCTGGGAATCAGCTGACCCAGGTCCAATCCCCAGCTTCCCAAAAGCTGGGACTCAGCTGATTCCTGATTCCTAAGTAAGGAGCCCTAAGCATCGCCAGGTGTAGCCACCCCCTGCCCATTCCAACAAAACAAAACAAGGGGGGTGGAGAGGGCTGGCATTAGGGGAGAGCAATGGGAGGGTAAAGGATGGGTGAAATTTTTTGTCGTTTTTTTGGGGCCACATCTGCAGTGCTCAAGTCTCACTCCTGCCGGTTGTTCAGGAAAAGATCTGTAAAAGGAATCTAGTCACTGAATCTTCTTCCACTTCCTTTCACAGACTCAAGTTTTTGCACTCAGTGTTTTGAAATTTGCTTTGGCTAACCTCATGACAACCTGTGGCTCGGTGCTCAAAATCTCGTCGAGAAAAATAAGGAGCTCCTGTGTAAAGAGCTACAAGGAGGTCATAGCCAGAAGCAGTCTCTCAGCTCAGAAGGGAGTGGCGGCGGCCCTAGCGAACGGGAGAAGCTGCGTCTGAAGCAGACTCAGCAGAAGAACAACAGGCTTGAGGGTCGGTGCAAAGCTACTGCCCCTACAATCCTGTAAACGCTCCAGACGCTACCCCAGAGGATTAACAAAGACATGCCAACAGATGCACTTACTTATAGCTTCGAAAGTAAATCTTCCCGTTGAGCGCAGTGAAGTGCAGAACATACTCTAAACCAGCCAGGCGGATATTTGATACTGTGGGGCCTCTGAAGAAATCTAAAAACACCACAAATGAGGTAGTTTTGAAAAAAAAAAAAAAAAGAGAGACTTACAAGCCTTAAAATTAAGTAAACAAAATTTAAGCTGGAAAAAAAAGATTGTTTTTGTTTATGCAGGCTGCATTCTAAATGCTCCCACTGTGTAACCAAAACTCGTCTGAAGAGCGAATAGCCCCAAACCCATCCCTGAGACTGCCGGAAAGCCTTACCCCTCCATCGTTTAATCCCATGGCCTTACTGTGAGGTGCAGCTCACTGAGCCACGTGCCTTTTCAGTCCTGAAATCCACCTGCTAATGCTTCACACAGGGATACACTCTGCTATCAGGGAGTAAAATTTTAATCTCAAAAACAGATTAAAGGGCTGGAGTGATAGCACTGCGAGTAGGGCATTTGCTTTCCATGCGGTGGACCTGGGTTCAATTCCCAGCATCCCGTATGGCCCCCCCAAGCACCGCCAGGAGTGATTCCTGAGTGCCTGAGCCAGAAGTAACCCCTGTGAACCGCCTGTGTGACCCAAAAAGAAAAAAAAAAAGATTAAGACTACAAATATCTTTGAAAGAAAACAAGTTGTTACTGAAGCTTAACCTGGGAGGCAGCCGGGGTGGGAGCACACCTGGCAGTACTCAGGGATCACTCCTGGTGTGGCTCAAGGGACTATATGCGGTGCAAGGATAGATCCCAGACTGGGCACCTGCAAGGCAAGTGCCTTTCCCGCTGCACTATCACTCCATCCTCAAGTCTAGACTATTTACCTAGATGATGTTTGTTTTATGAGAAGGAGCAACAATGCAAGGAGGTTCTAAGAAGAAATCTTTTTTTTTTTCTTTTTGGGTCACACTCAGCGATGCACAGGGGTTACTCCTGGCTCTGAACTCAGAAATTACTCCTGGCGGTGCTCAGGGCACCATATGGGATGCTGGGAATCGAACCCGGGTCAGCCGTGTGCAAGGCAAATGCCCTACCCACTGCGATATCACTCCAGCTCCAGAAATCTTAATCTGAGTAAAGGGTAACACACTCTATAAATTATTAATAAAGATGGAACCACTTTGACCCACAGTGTGGGACTCATACTCTGGTGGCAAAAGAGATGTTTAATGATATGCATGCAGATATAGTTATTAATACCCTCTAAATTTTATTATATATAGCATTTTCCATTTGTAGTAGAGACAGAATGTCTCTTTGTACAAATGAGTCAATTTAGGGGCTAGAGAAATATTTCAGGGCTAAAGGATCTTGCAGGTGGCAGACCCCGGTTCAGTCCCCAGCACTACACAGTCCCCCAAGCATCTCCAGGTGCAGCCCTGGAGGCACCCATCACCACTAGGATGGCCGAGGTAACCTGGCGCCAAGGGTTCCAAGCAACACTGGGTCCTTGAGCCCCAGCATTGGAAGACTGCCTAGGCTGACCAAGAATCACTGGCAGTGAGGGCTGGAGCAATAGCACAGTGGGTAGGGCGCTTGCCTTGCATGCGACCGACCCAAGTTCAATTCCCAGCATCCGATATGGTCCCTTGAGCACCGCCAGGAGTAATTCCTGCGTGCAGAGCCAGGAGTGACTCCTGTGCATCTCCGGGTGTGATCAAAAAAAAAAAAAAAAAGAATCACTGGAAGGGATGCTGGGTCTGCAGAGCACCGCTTGGGAGATTCCCCTCCCCACCTCCAAAGGGTCCATTTAAGGAAAAATCTTGTGATCAACACTGTGGCTACTAAACGGACTTGATTACAATTATGAAGGCTGCATATAAAAGAAAGAAGCAGAGAACGAACATACAATACAAAGGTTAAGGGACTTGCCTGGCATGCGGCAGCATCCCCAGCACCACACGGTTCCCCAAGCCCCAGTGGGAGCAGCTACCAAGCACGGAGCCAAGAGTAGCCCCTGAGCACCACCAGTATAGTTCAACTACCCCCAAGGAAAATAACTTAATGAGGTACGTTTGGGGGTGCAGGAGTCAAGTTTGAGTCCCTCATTAACACACACACACACACACATTTTTTTTAGTTGAGGGGGTGGAGGAATTGGGTCACACCAGCTGTGCTCAGGACTCACTCCTGGTGGGGCTTGGGGGACTATATGGGTTTCCAGGGATTAAATCAGGTTGGGCCACCTACAAGGCAAGCATCCTACCTGCTAAACTATCTCTCTGGTCCCATAAGCCCTCATTTTACACCTAAGAAATCTGAACCCCAAGGAGGCTAAGTGGGAAATGAACAACACTTAGCTGAGAAAAAAGGACACAAGGAGAGGGCCATAATACAGGTGGTAAGGAGCTTGCTTTGAATTCAGCAGACCCAAACTCAACCCCCAGCACCCCAAAGACTCCCCTAAGCCACACTGAGAGTGATCCCTGAGTGTGAAGCCAGGACTAAACCCTGAGCACTGCCAGGTGTGGCCCGAAAACATATAAAAAAAATGAAAAAAAAAATAAATCTGCATATTGAGTGGAGGCATAATCACACAAGAAAAAGAACTATTTGAAGTGACTTCAAAGCACAGTCATTTGACCTGTTTCAAACAGCATAAAGCTACAAAGAACTACAGAACAAATTATGTTGGGAGTCATGGAGGAAAAAGGTCTTTGTAATAAATCTGAATTAACAGCTCAATATGAACCCAAGCAACAGTCAGATGGCCAATGCTACTCTGTCCATCAAGTGTGCTATGCCCATGAGTACAGAACTGTTTGGGAATAGGTACAAGACCAGGGTATTAATGAGGAAAAACAGGGGCTTATAGCCTATCCTGATTTTAATACTAACTAGTCAGTCCCTCTTAATGAACTGAATAAAATGACATCAATTTCTTCTTTAATAACATAGGAATAATATTATCACAGTAATATAAATGTTGATGCCCTCCACATCCCCAAATTCCTATGTTAATAAAGCCCATAACCCCCAGTACAGCTTTATTTGAGGTAACAGTTCAAAATCACAGTTAAATGAAGTGCTCATTTATAAGGATGAGTACCTGATCCCATAGGATTAATATCTTTGTTAGAAGAGAGACTAGAGGGGCTGGAGAGCCAGTACAGGGGTGAAGGCACTTGCCTTGAGGGCGGACAACCCAGGTTCAGTCCCTAGCTCCCAAAATCATCTCCCCGAGCCCTCCCAAGGGTAAGCCCTGAGCACTGCCAGATATGTGGCCCCCGTCTCCCTCCCACACCCCGCACTACAATCCTAAAAAAGCCATGTTTTTCCTTTCTCCCTCCAACCTCCACATGTAAAGAAAAGCCATAGGAGCCTACGGCAAGGAAAGAGGAAGAGTGCCTTCGTCAGACAAAATGCAGGAGGGAAGAGGCAGGCTCCCAAGCAGTGCTCAGGAGGCCTGGGGTTCCACTAAGAATTCATGGCCAGCTGGGCCCTGTGGTCCAAGGCAAGACGACCAGGACGGGAAGAGGCTAGACCATATGGTGCTACTCAGGCCCTGTGGTGGCAAGCATACCCAGTGCACCCCACCAGAGCTGGCATGTCCAGAGTCATACCCTAGGGTACCTGGGGGCCTCCAGAGCCGCACCCAGCCATGTTCTGGAAGAACTATTTGGTGCCCGGAATCAAACCCAGGTCTATTTGTCTAGCATGCACTCACTGCTGTGCTGTCTCCCAGCCTCTTCACTCAAAAACTAAACCTTGAACATTAAACCATCAAATTCTTTAAGAATGAGGAAATTAAGTTTTAAAAAGTAAAGCAATGGGGTTGGAGCGATAGCACAGTGGGTAGGGCGTTTGCCTTGCATGCAGCCGACTTGGGTTCGATTCCCAGCATCCCATATGGTCCCCCAGCACTGCCAGGAGTAATTACTGAGTGCAGAGCCAGGAAGAACCCCTCTGCATCTCAGGTGTGACCCAAAAAGCCCCCCCACCAAAAAAAAGAGTAAAGCAATGAAACTGGGGAGAGAGCACAGGGGTCGGGGTGGATCCCAGACCCTGATTCATTCGCTGGCACTGCATGGCCCGAGGACTAGGGTAGAGTTCTAGAGGCCCCTGAGTGCAGCTGGCTGACCTTGGTGGTGGGACCTGGTATCACGCCACCCAAGAATCATGGCATCCCTGGGCTCCAATGTTGAACTGCCAAGTACTGCTCGGAGTGCCCCTCCCAACCCCTATTCCCAATTCCCTGGGCAGCACAGAGGCCCATTCCCTCCCGATAATAATGACCACTAATGCGAATAAAAGCCAAGGAGAAAAAGTAACTCTCCAAGCAGAGAGTTGTATTTTCACAGCAGTCCTTAAAGAAATATTTAAAATTAAACTACTACCATCTTAAATAGTCATATAATGAATAAAATGAATGTCTGGCATAAAATATTTAAGTGAAGACAGTTAACTTTTCTTTCTAGTGTGTTTAAAAGAAAACTTTTCTGGGGCTGGAGTGATAGCACAGAGGGTAGGGCATTTGCCTTGCACGCAGCCAACCCTGGTTTGATTCCTAGCATCCCACATGGTACCCCAAGCACTGCTAGGAGGAAGTCCTGAGTGCAGAACCAGGAGTAACCCCTGAGCATCGCCGGGGTGAGACCAAAAATGGAGAAAAAAATGCTGGGGCCCAAGAGAGAGTACAGAAGGGAAGGCATCTGCCATGCACACAACCAACCCAGGTTCAATCCCCAACATCCTATATGATCCCCCAAGCACAGCCAGCAGTAACTCCTAACAGCAAAGCCAGGAATAACCCATGAGTACTTTCAGGTGTGGCCCAAAAACCAAAACCCAAGAAAAAATTTCCCTGAAGAAAACAATTTCTCTGCTATTAAAATTCTTTTTTCCCTATTGTTCTACTTTACTGCATCTGAATGCACCACATATACTAAAAGGCCTTCCGCTAACTTTATAATGAAAAGACTTGACTTCCTACAATCTCACTTTTCCTCTATTTTTCTTTTTTCAGTCCCCAGATTGCTTTGCACATTATGTGGCCATTCCTGCCATCTAGTGGAAGCAAAAATCAGTAAGATAAAGCTTTAATAAAACCACTGAATTGCTGAAAGTAGATAATGGACGAAACATGATAACCTCTCAGTATCTTTATTGCAAATCATACTGCCCCAAAGTAGAGTGTGGGGAATGCTGTCTGCCATGGAGGCGGGGAAGGGTGGGAAAGGGGGGGTATACCGGGGATATTGGTGGTGGGGAATGTGCACTGCTGGAGGGATGGGTATTTGATCATTGTGTGATTTTAACTCAAACATGAAATCTTGTAACTCACAGTGATTCAATAAAATTTAAAAAATAAAAATAAAAACCAAATCCGAAAACAAAACAAAACAAAAAAGAACACTGAAGTGTCAGGAACATATGAGAGCCCCGGAAAATCTGAGTCAACCGGGAATCTGGGAAGAGGACTGGTGGAGGGATAAGTGTCAAAACATTGTATATCTTAAGCCCAATCATGGTTTCACATGAATAAATAACTTAAATCAATAAATAAAATTTGGGTCAATGAAATACAACAGAAATCTTGGTACCAGGCTTGATCCCCAGAACCCCATATGGTCCCCTGAGCCTGCCAGGAGTGATTCCTGAGTGCAGAGTCAGGCATGGTCCCAAAACCAAACCAAATCAAAACACAAAAACACATGGGGGGTACAAAACAATAGTACTGCAGGTAAGGCACTTGCCTTGCACACAGCCGACCCAGGTTTGATCCCTGGCACCCCATATGATCCCCTGAGCACCACCAGGAATAATTCCTGAGTGCAGAGCCAGGAGTAACCCCTGAGCATTTGGACCACTGCAGGTATGGCCCGAAACAAAAGCAAAAGAGTGTAACATTTCTGACTTCCCTGTCACAGCAGGAAATAAAGAGTAATAAAAAGGGGAAAAAGATAAAGAAAAATGGAGAGGAGCTATACACCTGAAATGACACGACAAAAACAGCACAAATGATAATATTATATTCTTTACCTAAGCTGCTCCAATCTGCTCCAATGATGAGTATAAAAATCAAACTAAGAAGCTTTCTCACCACAAAAGAAAAAAGGACCAGAATAAAGACATCCTACAGACTGGGAGAAAATACTTTTCCACCACTCATCTGACAATGGGTTAATATCCAAAATATATAAAGCACTTGTAAACTTAACTGGAAAAAAGAAAAATCAACCCCATCCAAAAATGGGGGCAAGAGATGAACAGACACTTCAAAGGAGAGAGATGGCCCAAGTAATGAAAAAATTCTCTGCATCACTGATAAACCAGGGAAGCACACATCAAAATAACAATAAGATTCACTTTACAACAGTGAGACTGACACATATCACAAAATACAAAACCAACCAGTATTGGAGTAAGTGTGAGGAAAAGGAACCCTTTTTCAAAGCTAGTGGAAATGTCAAATTGTCCAACCTTTTGGAAAACAAAATGGACACTCCAAACTGTGCTGGCATATAACCCAGAAATTCCACTTCTTGGCATCTATTGCAAGGGCCCCAAACCTCAATTCAGAAAAGACAGATTATAGCCTAATCTGAGTCTATTCTTCAACTCAGAATAGCCAAAATTGGGAAACAACAAAAGGGTGCAAGGACAGATGACTGGATAAAGAAACTGACACATATACACTGTCACTGTCCTCCCATTGTTCATCAATTTGCTTGAGTGGGCCCAGTAACGCCTCCATTGTGAGACTTCTTGTTGCTGTGTTTGGCATACTGAATACGTCAGGGGTAGCTTGCCAGGCTTTGCCGTGCGGGCGAGATACTCTCAGTAGCTTGCTGGGCTCTCCGAGAGGGGTGGAGGAATCAAACCACCCTAACCACTGTGAGGTAGTGCGCTATGGGGATCGTATTACTGTGCAGGACACAAAGACTGATGTCAGACCCTCAGCCTGCTGGAAGATCAGAGAGGTAAAATGACAGGCCAGCACAGGGCCCCTCATTCAACACTCAGGTCGGAACATCTCAGCAGGAGCCTGAGTACAGAGCTGTGCGCTTGCATCCCCAACCAGGCCTCTGCCAACTGCTGTCCCCACCACAGGCTTCACATGCTAACAGAACTCCAATCCCACGGCAGGGTTCTCAGCGATGGATATTAAAACACTGAAATTAAATTAAAACACTGAAATTAACTTTGCCTGAAATTTCCTAGAAGCTGAATGAGTCACTCCTTTAATAGGAGTAAAATGTCAGGGCTGCACAGAACCCCAGCCCCAGATGTCAAGCCGAAGCTGGAGGACATTATTCAACATAATGCTTTAAGTACAATATATCACTTTTCGTGCCTTTTTTTCCTGTAATAGAAAAAAAAAATCAGAAAGGGATTTACAGTGGGCAAGGAGGGATGTCACTGAGAATGTAACCACTAAATTATAAACATATTAAAGGGGCTCTGAACACCTCTTTTTGCTCTCGCTTCAGAGAGTTTGTCTTTTTTTCCAACTGTATTCTCCAATCTAATCAACAACCACATTAAAAACACTGAAGTCCAGATAGAGAGCTAGCCCATACTCTTATTTTTTACTATGATTTACTTCTCCGGGTTCAAGGCCTTGCTGAAAAAAATGGGCACATGTGTACGCAGCTGGGTTAATAACCCTCGCTTACAAAATGCTTGCAGTGCTCTGAAAAGACTTCTATCTCCACAAAGGAATTTTTCCTCACTTTTCAGAAGTAAAGCAAATTCTGCAATGAATTTTCAGCGAAATCCAACCCATTCACTTGAACCTATGAAAGAACAATGGGTTAGGAAACTCTCTGTTCATTTAAATCTTTGCAGAAGCATATGGTAAAACGTGCACTGTCCCGGCGCCCAGATTCTGCAGCGCGGGGCCAGCAGCTGACCGCCGGCTCGGACGATCCATCCTGAGCCAAGATGCTCGGCCCGGGACACGGGCTGGGATCACAGCACGGCCACGTGCCCCGCAGCCTGCGGTGTCCCCGCATCGTGCCCACAACTTTAAATGAATGCCAGGAAGCTCCCTGCAACCGGCTCCCACGCCCGGAACCGGTTCCTCTTCCTGGCCCGGCCTGGAACATTATCTGGTCATAAGAAAAGATGAAATTATAGAATTTGCTGCTACAGGGATTAGTCAGAAGGAGGGGGGACACACAAGAAACGCTTTCTCTCATATGTGGGCTCTAAAGGAATAGTAAAGAAATAACAAGAACCTGAGTACTGGTCTCCAGCAGGAAGCTGGGGTAGAGGGATAATAGAGATGCAGCCACTTTGGTGGAGCTGGAATCTGGAGCTGGGATCTGTAGCGCTGGAACATTCTATGCAGGAGACCCTGCCATTAACAGTACTGGAAGTCACCTGACTAAAATGAAAAAAAAAATTTTTTTTTGAAAACAAAGTTTTCATGTACTTACCAGTAAGAAGACTTTTTAACCTTCGGTAGTCTTCTGTTCTATCAAAGTCATCGCCAGCAAATATCAACATGGGTTTCGTTCCCTCAGGACATTTACTATTCTACAACATGAAAAAATCAAAATGCAACTATCAAGAATGAAAACTGTTTATATGCTAATTTTTAAAGTGGTCAATGCATATATACACCAATTCACTTTATTTTGGGGTTCGTTTTGGGGGGGGGGCAGGGCGGAACTAGCAGTGCTCAGGCTTACTTTTGACTCTGTGCTCAGGAATTACTCCTGGCAGTACTCAGGGAAGCATAAGGTGCTGGGGGCTGAACTGGGGTTGTGTGCAAGGCAAAAACCCTACCCTGCTATACAAGTGCTGTGGCCCCTCCTTCACATTTTCTTAATAGTCCTAAAACTATGCCTACAAACATTGCCTTCAGGGTTAAAACCAGAAATGGCATTTTCATTTTCTTTTGTTTTCGGGGTCACACCCAGCAATGCTCAGGGGTTACTCCTGGCTCTGCACTCAAGAATTACTCCTGGCTGTGCTCAGTGGACCCTATGGGATGCCAGGGATCAAACCTGAAGAGGCTGCGTGAAGGCAAGTGCCCTACCTGCTATACTATCTCTCCGAGCTCCAGAGTTGGCATTTTCTAATGTGTACAGTTTTATATTAAAAAGTAATTTTTCAGGGTTGGAGTCCTGGTGTGGAGACAGAGGATGAATGTAGTCCTCGATTTCAAACGTTTTAGCCAACTAGGGTGCGAAGTCCTTCCTGCTTCATGCATATAGGAAGGTGCTCTTAACACATGAGTCACATCTTCCAATCACTGTTCTTATTTTCCCATTGGTTTTTGTATCTTTCTCTTTTTTTTTCTTTTTTTTCTTTTTTTTTGGGTCACACTTGGCATTGCACAGGGGCTACTCCTGGTTCATGCACTCAGGAATTACTCCTGGCGGTGCTCAGGGGACCATATGGGATGCTGGGAATCGAACCTGAGTCCGCCGTGTGCAAGGCAAATGCCCTACCGGCTGTGCTATCACTCCAACCCTGAATCTCTTTTAAAGCAGTACAGATTATCCAAACCGAGCTCAAGAAAATCCGACCACATGTATATCCTCCGTCCAGAACCATAGCCCACCAGCTGCTTTCCTGCGTCCCCATGACCAGACTCACGACATTCATTCTCTGCCTCCACACCAGGAGTCTCTGCCTGTCTATCCTTAGGAGACATGCCTAAGATTTGTCACCTGAATGGAGACCCAAACAGACCGTCCAAATTCAGTAACTTTTCTGTGAGCACGTGATGCTCATCCTGCTCTGCTTAGGTCTGTGGGGGGCTATTTTAGTGCACAGCAAGAGGCAACAATTAACTTCAACTTTGTCCTTAAACAACGCTGACAGGGTTGGGATGCAGCTCAGCAACAAAGCACAGGCTTCTGCATGTGTGGAGGCTCTGAGTTCTATTCCTAGCCCTGGGAACAAAATACCAATCTGACCACAGTACACAGCAATTAAAAAATATATACTATTTTGTCATGATCTAGGACTCAATGATCACGGTCCTCCCGTTGTTCATCGAATTTGCTCGAGCGGGCCCAGTAACGTCTCTATCGGAGACTTTGTTGTTACTGTGTCTGGCATATCAAATATATCACGGGGAGCTTGCCAGGCCCTGCCGTGCAGGCGAGATACTCTCGGTAGCTTGCTGGGTTCTCTGAGAGGGGCGGAAGAATGGAACTCGGGTCGGTCATGTTGGCTGCGTGCAAGGCAAACGTCCTACCGCGGTGCTATCGCTCCAGCCCGATCTAGGACTACAAATCATAAATACATCAAGCAGTATGTAACACATAAGTGGTCAGTAATCATAATTCCAATAATCTGAGATTGAAAATCAAAAATACTCCAACAATACAATACAGTATACACACACGCACACAAACTTTTTTTTTTTTAAAGTGAACTAATCTTTTCAAGGAGAAAAAAATTTTTAGATTGACTATACATAGAATTTTCACTTAAAATATCCCAGGTCAGTCACAAAGTATTTTATCCTAACTAAAACAAGTAAATTTACAATTTAATTTTGCAGTGCCATATACACACAAGAGCGCGTGCACACAAGGCATCTGCACTAATGTTGAGTTGCATCTCTGGCCTAGCCTTACAGTTCATCTCATTCATTAAGACAACGTACAGACAGTCTCTGGCTACACCATCAGAACACTTCCAACCCTGCCTTTCAAGATCAGACTGACATTCTCTAAGTTTCACCATCCTAGAAAACAGGATCCTAGAATGATCTCCTAATTTCCTGCCACAGTCAAGTAACTTGTTTCTTTAAGAGTTACCACAAGGAGGGGAGCAGAAGCAAGGGAAGGGAGAAGGGAGGAAGAAGCTGGAGAAATAGTTTAGCCAGCTGAATGCATACTCTACATACAGAAGACCAGGCTGAATTTCTGAGACCACATCGTCCCCTGAGCACTCCCAGGCACGGTCCTGAAACAGAGCTGGGTAGCCCCCAGCAATGCCAGACAGACCCCCTTCCCAAAAACAGAAAAGGGAAGCAAAGCGGAGGGGGATTGCTCTGCATGCAGGAGCTCCAAGGTCAAGTCCTAGCAATGCATAGTCCCTTGAGGACCATGCAGTATAAACAAACATGCACTGGCGCTCTCATACACACACACACACACAGACACACACACACACACACGCACACACGCACACACCAAGTCAAGTGCAGATCCCAAACAAATCTGGGAATAGCCCAGGAACCAAACACCAAACCGAAACAGTTACCAGGAGAATGAGGCTTGGCAACAGAAGAAGGAAAGAAAGAAGAGAAATACCTGAGGAAGATGACTTTTAAGATGATGTCAAAGTTGGTAAGAAAAAAAAGCCATCATAGTTTTATTCATAGTTTTTTCTCAGATATATAGAATTAACTTATGTGCTTCTTACTTTTAAAAATTACAATGAAAAATACTAGTAGTAAAAAATTAAAAAAAGGGAGAAATGAAGTCAAAGTACCAAGAGCCAGAGAGACAGTACCACGGTGCTGTCTAGCATCGAATGATTCTTCTATTTGTGCCCAGCATCTTTCTTACCTTAATATCTTTTAGAGAAGCAAACTTCTCTATACCTAATTCAATCATATCCAGCACATGGTAGTCATACATACGACCTAGAAGAAAAATACATTTTTAAGCAGTCAGTCATTTTCCCCAAAATTAGTCATCTTCTAATTATACACTAGATGCTATTACCTGACTCTCTTCTTTTTTCTTATATCCCCAAATATTTATCTTTCTTAAATTTTTATCTCTTTTTTTCTTTTGGATTTCGGGGGAGCACCCGGCAGTACTCAAGGCTTATTCCTGAGTCAGTGCTTGGGGGAATATGCAATGCCTGCGACTGAACCCAGGCCACCAGCATGCGTAGCCTTCACTCCAGCTCATTCAGCTATCTCTACGGCCCTTCTTAAATTTTTAGTTCTACTAGAATAGATTGTTTCAATACCAACATTGAAAAAAATCTTAAGAGACCATTTAGAGATCTGTCTTAGTTTGTTTTTGCTTTTTGGGGGCCATACTTGGCAGTGCTCAGGGGTTACTCCTGGCTCTGCACTCAGAAATTACTCCTAATAGTGTTCAGGGGACCATATGGGATGCTAGGGATTGAACCCGGGCTGGCCGTATGCAAGGTTAGCACCTACCTGCTGTACCAACTCTCCAGTCCCTGTATGTTTTAAAATAGAAAAATGTCTACAACTTGAGGTAAAATATTTACATGTCATTATTTACCTGGGGACAGATAACATTTTATCTCACAAGGAAATTAAAGAATTAAGCTTAGGGGGCTGGAGAGATAGCACAGCAGGTAGGGCGTTTGCCTTGCATGCGGCCAACCCGGGTCCGATTCCCAGCATCCCATATGGTCCCCTGAGCACAGCCAGGAGTAACTCCTGAGTGCAGAGCCAGGAGTAACCCTTGTGCATCGCCGGGTATGACCAAAAAAAGCAAAAAAAAAAAAAGAAAAGAAAAAAGAAAAGAATTAAGCTTAGGACTAAGAGGTGGCTCAAGTGACAGAGCACACACCTTCCACGTCAGGTCCTTGGTTTGATCCTGGGCACAGTAACAAAAGTAACTCGCTTAGTTTACTGGTTACTCCTGAATCCTCAACATCAATTAATCTGAATCACAGAGCTGACACTATAAATAAAAGGTATATTTTGTTTATGGATTCTTGCGGGGGTCATAAATGGTGATGGTCAGGGGTCACTCCTGGCTCTGCGTTCAGGAATTATTCCTGGTGGTGATCAGGAGACTGATGGGATGCCAGGGATCGAATCCAGGTTGGCCATATGCAAGGTAAGCACCCTACCTGCTGTATTATCTTTCCACCCTAAGTGAAAGTTTTTGACTTTTTGGTCACACTCAGCAGTGTCTTGAGGCTATTTATAGAGGTACTCTTCAGAGCACCTGGCACTGGGACCAAACCCCACAGCTCCCACATGCAAAGCAGGTGCTCCTGCCCTCTGAGTCATCTCTCTGGCCCCATAAATAAAATTTTTATAAATAAAACATACCGATTACGAGATTATTTGGCCGCTTCTTATTATGGGAGCCAAACATGAATAAAGAACAATCTGATTTCTTTGAAAAGAATTCCTGTAAAGCCAAAGAAGTTCCATTTAGTTAATGCATACATACAAGAATGACAGAATTATACCTCTGAGTAGGCTGGAGACAGTACAGAGGTTAAGGCATTTGTCTTGCATTCCTCAGACCTGGTTTGCAACCCTGGCACCACTTATGGTCCCGAGTACCACCAGGGGTCACTCCAGAGCAAAGCCAGGAATCACCTCTGAGCACAACCAGGTGTGGTCCAACCATTGCCCGCCCACCCACCACATAAAGGTCACACAATGGTCCCAGCCATAATGAATCTCAGGACGGGAAAAACAAAGAATTGTAGCACTTGAAAAAAGTCTTCCAGTCCTGGGGCTGCACGTGGCTGACCCAGGTTGGATCTCCCACATCCCATGCACCACTCGGAGTAATTCCTGAGTGCAGAACCAGGAGTAACCCCTGAGGATCACTGGGAGTGGCCCACACCCCACTCCCCCAAAAAGAAGTCTTCCAGTCTTATTTTTAGTAGAAACTAATGAAAACTTCGGCACAGGGTTTCTGAAAGGACTTTATTTCTAGTCTTTTATCTCCAATTTTCTGATTGGGAAACCAATTTTGTGGGGCCAGAGTGAGCTCTTAAACAGTCTCCCACATGCATTATAGGCAGGAGGTCCAGATCTGATCCCCTCAAGCACTGGCAGAAGTGACCCCTGAGCAGAACTGGGAATAGCCCGTGAGCACTACTGGTTGTGACACACACACACACAAAAAACAAACAACAACAACAAAACACCAAACCAACAAACAGCTACACACTCAACATTCATTCATCATTCACCACTTACTTTTATACACCTTTTATCTTGTCATTCGCTAGTCCTTGGATTTAGTTTTGGCTGTCAATAAACTGCCAGAGGAACTTGATACACTGTAGTAAAGCAAGCTGTAATTGCTACCAGTAGTTCAAGCAGTAGTTTCTTCTTCTTAAAGTATACCAAAAAAGTCCAATTTCTAGAATAAAACTTGCTTTATAAAAACAAACTAACAAAAAAAGACAACAGTGCTCACTTCAGTAGCACGTATGAAAAAAAAATTCTTTTAAATAAAAATAGTACATGGACCAGAGAGAAGAGAGTACAGTGGGCAGGGCACTTGCCTCAAAGTCAACCTGGGTTAGATTTCTAGAGTCCCCTATGGTCCAAGGAGCACCGCTAGGAGTGATTCCTGAATGCAGTGCCAGGGGCAACCCCTGAGCATTGCCAGGTATGGCCCAACTCCCCTACACACACACACACACACACACACACACACACACACACACACACACACAATATAGACAGTACAAAAGAAGAAAAAAAAAGTACAGCAGGGATGGTGATTGCCCAGCACATGGCCAACCCAGGTTTGATCCCCAGCCCTTCATTGAATCCCTTGAACCCCGTCAAGAGTAATTCCTGAAGCGGAGCCATGGGGAAGCCTGGAGCACTGCTGGGTGTGCTCCCACACACCAAAAAAACAAACAAACAAATAAGATTAACAGGGGCCAAAGAAATAGCTAAGTTAGTGTGTGGTTCGCATGAAAGAGCCCCACATTTGATTCCTGAATCTGCAGGGTCCCCCTGTAACTGCCAGGAGCAATTAACCCTCTATCACAGAAAGCTGGAAGCTGTAGTAAAAAAAAAATTTAAAAATCTGTAACCACATATTTTTTGTGTGTGTGAATTTTTGATTCATATACTTAGAAAGCAATTCCGAGGCCCAGAGATGTGGCTCAGTGGTGAAGTGTGTGTGCCTCACACGTGTAAGTCCCTGGGGCCAACACAGCTGAGTGCATCCCCAGCACAGGGTGACCCTATCACAGCAAAACAACAAAATTTTTTATTTCGTTTTGTTTTCGTGTCATACCCAGCGATCTCAGTAACTGTAGCTCTGCACTCAGGAATTACTCCTGGTGGGGTGTGGGAACCATATAGGGTGCCAGGGATTGAACCAAGTCAGTCAGGTGCAAGGAAAAGCACCCTAACCACTGTACTACAACTCTGGCCTCACAATAATTCTCCTTCTAAGCAGTGAATATATACTAACCAAGTGAGATATAAGTTCTCTAGAACTATTTTTAAGAATATGACAAATTGGTCTCATGAGATTTTTTTTTTTATGGTGGTGCTAGGAATTGAACCCAGGACCTCTCATATCCAAGTGCTCTACTGCTGAGCCACATCCCCAGTCTGATAATTTCTCACGATCACGACCATCCTGTTATTCATCGATTGCCTCGAGCAGGCCCCAGTAACGTCTCTTTCGTCCTAGCCCTGATATTTTTTAAAAAGTGCCATATTCAAGGCTCTTTCAGAGTTAGGAGAATGAGACCCATCACTGTTACTGGTTGATAATTGTTGATAATTTCTCATTTAAGAAAAAAGCCATGAATTATATTATAAGAATTAAACTTGCCTTGCAAGCCAGTGACCCGGGTTCAATCCCAGGCACCCCATATGATCCACCACTAGTGATCCCTGAGTGGACAACCAAGTAACTCTTTGAGCAGAGCCAGGGATGTCTCAAACCACCTGTGCCCCCGAGTAAATAAAAATAAAATACTTAGAGGCCCATAAGTTAGAAAGATTTCTCATACTTACCAATGAAGTCTGATCTTCAAATGGTCTTGTAATATTTTTCCTAAGATACAAAAAAAGATGAGTCTAATTTTAATCCTATGTAACTCAACCCAGAGTCAGAGGAGGATCAAAAAGCTGGAGCACAAGTCTAGTACGCACAAAAGCCCTCAATTTGACTCTTAACACTGAATGGCCTTTATTCATTTATTTATTTTTGCTTTTTGGGTCATACCTGGTGATGCTCAGGGGTCACTCCTGGCTCTGCACTCAGGAATCACTCCTGGCAGTGCTCAGGGGACCATATGGGATGCTGGGTATTGAACCTGGGTCGGCTGTGTGCAAGATAAATGCCCTACCCTCTGTGCTATTGCTCCAGCCCCTGAATAGCCTTTAGAGTGCTGCTGTGTGAACTCTAGTTGTCCCTTGGAATTGCCCAGGAGACCCAAAACTAAAACACGAAATTTGGGTAACTGAGGGGCCAGAGCAATAGTACAGCAAGTAGAGTGCACACCTTGTACAAAGTCAACCTGGGTTTGATCTCCAGGACACCGAATGGTCCCCCAAAACTACCAGGAGTGTCCTGAGAGCACAGAGCCAGGAGTAAGCCCAAAACACTGCCAAGTGTGCCTCCCCCACACACAAAAAAATTAACTCATCCAATAACAAGCTTAATAATAAAGATAATCTTATATCCAGATTATCAGAAAATGGTAGAAGGATATTCAAGCAAGTATCTGTATAATGCCCAGTAAGCGCAAGGCACTGTTTTAGGAGTCAGGGATACTATATTTTTGTTTGTTTGGGGGACACACCTAGCTATGCTCAGGGATCACTTCTGGCTCTGCACTCAGGAATCACTCCTGGCAGTGCTCAAGGGACCATACAGGATGCCAGAGAGCAAACTCAGGTTGGCCACATGGAAGGCAAATGCCCTACCAATATATTATTTCTCTAGCCCCAGAGATACTATAGTATGCCAAACAAGAGCCGTGCTTTTGTGGAGACTATGTCCTTGTGGAAAAGTAAACAATTTCTAAAAAGAGGAGCTAAGATGTGGTCGGAGAGAGTGCAGTGGGCAGGGTGCTTGCCTTCCTTGCAGCCAACCCAGGTTTGATCAGCAGCATCCCTAATGGTTCCCAAACACCACCAGGAATAATTCTGAATGCAGAGCCAAGACTAACATCTGAACACCACCAGTGTGGTTCCCCATCCCACCCCCCCACCCCCAAAAAAGGAGCCGAAGAGATAGTACAGCAAGCAGGGCACTTGCCTTGCACACTGCCAAACTGGGTTTGATTGCCAACACCATCTATGGTTCCCTGAGCCTGCCAAGAGTGATCCCTGAGCACTACCAAACGTGGACCCCAAACAAAACAAATTGTGATTAAAAAAAAAAAAAGTTTTAAAGTGAACCAGAGAGATTAAGGACTCTAAGGTTAAGGTCTTGCCTACTTCATAGCCAGGTTGGGTTCAATCCCCAGCAATGCATATGCATACGGACAACCGAGCCCTACCAGGCGTGACACCTGAGTACAGAACCAGGAATATAACAAGCCCTCCTCCCCACCTTCAATTTTTAAAAAATTAGGTAGTTAGCTTAGTATGAATAGTAGTGAATAATTGAGTGAGATCTGATAAATTAGTCATGGAAAAAGTTTAAAGTTACGTATATTGTAGAAGAGGGATCAGAACAAGTAGGTTCTGAGATGGAAGCAAACTTAGACGATCCAAGCAACCAAAACCAAGTGTCACAGATGGTTAGTGAACAAATGGGAATGATGGAAAGACACAGAAAAAACCTAGGTCATATAGGGACTCGTTGGTCAAGGTAAGGAATACAGATATTACAAGAGTAGCAGGAAGCACTTAAGTATTCTAAGTATGACAGTGAAAGAATCAGATTCATATTTTATGATTTATTTTCAATTTGGGGGTCACAGCCAGCGATGCTCAGAAATATTCCTGGCGGTGCTTGGGGGGCCATATGGGAAGCCAGGGATTGAACCTGGGTTGGCCACTTACAAGGTCAATGCCCTACCCACGGTTGCTATCCCTCCAGCCCTCAAATTTTATTTTAAAGGATTATTCAATGATTATGCAAGATTTACACTAGGAGAAGCTGGGTGAAAGGAATATGGGAATACAATTTGGTAACTTCTCTGTAAGTCTATAATCACTGTAAAGTTTTACATATATACATACATATACACATACACATATGCCATGGTTACAACGGGAAAGAATAGTTAATACAAACAAACTGCAAATAAACTTGGAGCCAGGAAGAGTGTACCGTTTGCATGCAGGAGGCCTATGTTTAGTCTCTGGCACCATCTCTGTTCCCTCAAGCACTGTCAGAAGCAACTCTCAGGCACTGCACAAGGTGTGGCCAAAACCCCCCACTCCCCACCCCCCAGTGAAATTAAAAATACTAACAGCTGTATATAAAGAACTGCAGTGGGTTATTTTTCTGTTTTGCGACCATATCCAGTGGTGCTCAGGGGTTAACTCCAGGCTCTGCACTCAGGAATTACTACTGGCAGGACTCAGAGGACCATTTGGGATGGCGAGGATTGAACCCACGCCAGCTGCATGCAAGACAAGTGCCTTACTTGCTGTGCTATTGGTCTTGTCCCAGAATTGTAGCGTTTTAAAAATTAAGTTCTTTAATGGTGATGGGATGGTGCAATGGTGGTGGGATTGGTGTTGGAATATTAAATGTCTGTAACAAATCACCATGAACAACTTTGTAAACCAGAGTGTTTATATATAGTATAGGGGGGAAAATAAAATTTATTTTTTTTTTAATTTCCTGAATCTTTATTTGTGGGCCCAGAAGAGCTCAGAAAGTCTACCTGCAAACATGAGGCCACAGGATTCAAGTCCTGACGCCCCACATGCACCATCCTGGTAGCTCTGCCTTTGTTCCTCAGCATAGCAAGCAATGTCTTGTGTGCCGTGTGTGTGAGCACCATAAGAAAGTGGCCGTTTGTTACTTTTAAAATGGGACAAAATAATTTAAAGTAAAAAATGTACTTACTTTTTATACAGAACACCATATGGCTTTTTCAATGCATACTGTAAGACATAATTCACAATTTCATAATACATATTTTGAAAAGCAGAGACAATTAAGCACTACAGCAAATAATCAACATTCCTCCAACATCTAAGTTCTATTTCTGACCTTCTTAGATTCCCTTTAATAACTCAAAACTTGAAACACAACTATAATAATCTAACTTAGACTGGACTTCCTTAAGCAAACACTTTCTACATGCTCTAAATAAACCAATTTAAATCACTATCTTGGTTTCTTTAAATGTATCAACTCATGTTTTCCTCAAACAACTTCAGAGTATAATGAATAAACACACTGGCCAGAGATAGCTCAATGGACTGGAGAACATGATTTGCATTTGAGAGGCCCAGGTTTGATTCCCAGCACTGAGTGGTCCCCCAAGTACATTATCAGGAGTGGTCCCTAAGTAGTGCCAGTGTGACCCAAGTTGTTTTGTTTATAATTTAAAAATAGAAGGGCCAGAGCGATAGCACAGTGGGTAGGGAGTTTGCCCTGCATGCAATCAACTCAGGTTCAATCCCTGACATCCCATCTGGTCCCCCGAGCACTGCCAGGAGTAATTCCTGAGTGCAGAGCCAGAAGTAGCCCTTGTACATCGCCGGGAGTGATCCTAAAAACCAAAAATAAATAAATAAATAAATGATATGCCTTCAGACCCCGCGCCAGGCTGACACTCATCCGGGACACCCCAGAGGGAGGCAGGGGAGCCCACAACCTGCCCAAACAGAGTCCCAGCAGTCAAAAACTTCCACACTCCAATTGCCAACAGGCTTACAGCCAGAATCTACAGGCTTGAGATAAGCGTCATCCAAGAATGAATCTGTTGAAAAACTCTGGTATGCAGGTTTTGTGTCCAAAATCTTCAGGTTCTCACAGAGTCGGAGATAGGCTCCCTATCCCAATTTCCCTGTGCTTCCGGGAGCCTGGTGGTCACATCCCTGATCCAGAGACTCACAAATAAATCTCAAAAGAGATCAGCAAGCTGCAGAGATGCTCCCAGACCCCAAAGTCACCATTCAATTAAAAATTTAACTCCAAGACAGAGAAGAAAAGCACCTGCCATAGAGGCAGGCAGAGGATGGGGAGTGGGGGGTGATGGGAGAGAACCTGGGGACACTGGTGCTGGGAAATGTATACTGGTGGAGGGATGGGTGCTGGAATACTGTTTGACTGAAATTTAATCATGAATAGCTTTGTAAAAAATAATAATAATAAAATTAGATTAGAAGAAAAATTTAACTCTAAGCTATATCACCCCTTTCAATATTTTAGAATTTCCGGAGTGACACCTCATACTCTACACCACTGACATACTAGGAGTATTATACCACATTGGATGGGATATAAAGTAGAAGTTAACTAAGCTTAAGAAAACATTAGCACACAAGGCTTAACCTGTTAACAATATGTTAGTAATCTCTTACACAAGGGCTTAATGGCTCCAGAGTCAGATACAACAATCTTTACTATTTTCTTCTAAGGAAATCTTTTTTGATCATTTATAGTGAATTATTCATTCATAACAAGCAATATAAAATAAATCGTACAGGGCCTGCTAATGGAGCAGGCTTGGGAAAATCGAAACCATGAAGCTGGCAGTTCTTTGTTTTGCTTTATGGGATCACAGATTGCTCAGAACTGCCTCCTGGCTCTGTGCTCAGGAATCACTCCTAGTGGGCTCTAGGAATCACTTCTGGTGGGGAATTCAACCTAGGTTGCCTGCTCTACTATTATCTTTGGCCCAAAGCTGGCAGTTCTTAAAGCAAGCATATTCCTTGGACTACCCAAGTTATCATGCAGAACTTTCCAAAAATCATTTCGAAGCAACTTTTAAAATTAAGTACATATACATACCATATCTCTAAGTACTTGGGTCACTGTTAAGTTTGCATTCCCCCCTTTAATCAGCATGGCATTTTTAATATTTTCAGTGAGCTTCGGTTCTCTCTTCTCAAGAAATCTCTTGGCTCTCTTCGTTTTGGGTTTTCTGTTTAAAAAAAATCAAAATTCATAACAACTTAAAACATGTTGCTCATACTATAAAACCATGACATACGTAAACTTCTAAAAATTAAACGTGTTAATTTCTATTAGCTTTTGGATTTCAAGGCCTTCATTTTGTATTACTAGCATTTTTCTATTGCAGGTTTCTAAAAAAATTATTCTTAAGGGGAGGAGTCGGAGAGTATGGGCAGCAGACAGAGTGACTGTCTTGCCTGCAGTCAACACAAAGGTTCAATATGGTTATGGTTCCCTGAGCTGGGTGTGGGCCAAAAGCCAAGGCAAAAAAGGAGGACACATTCTTACTGGCTGCATCTCTCTCTCTCTCTCTCTCTCTCTCTCTCTCTCTCTCTCTCTGTATCTCCCTCCCTCCCCCCCTTCCACTTTCCTAAATAAAATTATTTTACTTTAAGAAATAAAATCATAAAGTGGGGAGAGCCCCAGGCATGGATTCAATCCACAGTCAAACAGAGCCAGGAGCAGCTCCTGAACACTACAGACAGCATCAAAAAACAAAATTTCAAATGAAATAAAAGGTGCTCGAGACAACACAGCAGGAAAGGCGCTTGTCTTGCACACAGCTGGTCCAGATTCAATCCCTGGTCTTGCACACAGTTGGTCCAGATTCAATCCCTGGCACCCCACATGGTTCCCTGAGCCTACCAGAAGTGATCTCTGAGCAGAGGCATAAGTAAGCCCTGAGCACAGACAGTGCCCCCACCAAACCCACCCAAGGGGCAAAAAAAAAAAATTTTAAGAGCTCAGATATGAGGCCAGGGAGATAGTACAAAGGGCTGAACACATACATGGCTTGTGGAAGACCGTAGGTCAACTCCCAGGACCACTGTCTTCTCAGCATCACGGGGACAAAGCATGAACAATGCACCTGAGTACCCCTTGAGCACACGTGTGGTACCAAATCGACCTGGACCCTAAAACAAGCAGTCCCCTAAAACAAACAAGTGCACACCCAATGCTGATAGACCCGTGGGCATCTGCTAAGCACAAGGAGGCTAATCACAGCGTCTCTTTCCTCAGGTGGAGGTCACAGAGCCTGTCAGGAAAGCACACGTGATCCCTCTCCCACATCACTGTGGACAAAGCCAAACTTCACTGTCCCCAAAGGGGAATAGTGGCTGACCCTCTATCTAGGTTTAATCTTCACAAGACCCTAAGAGGCAAGCACAATTTTGTTATTTTATACAGACACCGGCGAAGAAGAATGATGGCAAAATTACAGCAAACAGGACCGCTCCACCCCATCCACCACCAAGATGGGGGTCCACACTCCAAGAGACAAAGTTATCTATACAGTGGAGTCAACTGAGGCCAAAGAGGTCTTTTTGCTTCGCCCAAGATCAGTTTCTAAGTCAAGATGCTGGAAGAGGGCTACAAATGTCAAGACCCATCTATACCAATCACACCACAAGGAAAATCAGTCATTCCGATTTTATGATGGAGCAGCAGATGGGTCTGTTCTTAAATATTTCTGTTCAGAAAAGGTTCTTACGCCCTGTTTCCACTTGCTGCAAACATCCCACTTTTCCAAACAGTTCCCAGCTGTCTATCCAAAGTTCCTCCTTATTTTGAATAACTAGGCTCCTCCTTTCTTCCCGAGTCCACCAGACAGGGGCTTTGGAAAGCAAAAGCACTTGGAAAATTCTCTTCCAGGGGCCTGAGAGATGGCACAGCGGGTGGAGCGCTTACCTTGCAGGCAGCCAACCCAGGTTTGATCCTGGGCATCCCATACGGTCCCCTGAGACATGCCAGGAGTAACTCCTGAGGGCAGAGCCAGGGGTAACCCCTAAGCATCGCTGGGGTGTGCCCTCTCACCCCCCCCCCCCAAAAAAAATGTTTTAAATCACAAAAGAAAAAAGCCAGTGAGCATTTGTACTTGCTGTAGTCAAGACTTGCTCACTCATTCAAACCGTCGGGCCCAACCGGGCGCGATGAATGAAGGCCAAGAGCTAAGACAGGGGTGGGGGCAACTGGACCGGCCGCAACCGACTGGCAACTCGATCTGTCAGATGTCGAGATCAGAGCACCCAAACCCTCACTCCATCTTTTCCAAGACGAGTCTTGAGAGGCCAGGACGTTTCTACTGGGCTAAAGATCAAAGCGCACACGGGTTCGGGGACCGACAGCCCCCACCGGCCGGGCCCCCGGCTGGGGAAGGGTGAATGCAAAAGTGACAACCAGCAGCGGAAAGCAGAGGCGCCGTCCCTCTCCGCCACCAAGCTCCATAAGGCAGCGACAGGGTAGCGACAGGCGGACTTACACGACTCGGTCCAAGGCGTCCATGGCTCGAGCGCACAACACGAACCCGGGAGGCGCACGTGCACCGCCGGCGACTCCAGCACCCACCCCCGCGCCCGGATACACGGAACCAGAAGTTGTGCTCGACGTCACTTCCGGGCACGGCCGAGCGGCAGCCGCTTCCAGGCGCTTAGCGGCCATTTTGAGTGTGGAACCGTGCCGTTTCCTTGGTTACGGGATCTTGGCCCGCGCGGCGGAGCTGAGTGAACCGGGAGGAGAAGCGTCACCTCAAAGCGGGATGACGTGCAAGCCTCCTTGGGTACCCGAAGTATTACTGCTCTGCTGGGGAATCCCCCAGGATGCTAGAAATCTTTTTTTTTTTTTTTTTGCTTTTTGGGTTTCATCCAGCCGGTTACATCCAGGGGTTACTCCTGGCTCTGCACTGAGGAATCACTCCTGGCGGTGCTTGGGGGACCATGTGGGATGCTGGGAATCGAACCGGGTCGGCCACATGCAAGGCAAACGCCCTACCCGCTGTGCTATTGGTCCAGCCCCGATGCTAGGAATCTTGGTGGCCATAGTCACTTGATTTTTTTTTTTTAACTATGTGAGATGTACCCTAAATTGGGATGTGCCTGAACTGTGGGAGATCAGCGAAAAATTCACAAGTGCCAGTGCCTGGCACCCAAAAGCTGCGGAGAAAATAATGCGACTGGTCATAGTATTTCCCCATCTTTAAAAATGATTTTTTTTTAAAGTTGAATCACAGTGAAGTACACAGTTACAAAGTGGTTCATGACTGTGTTTCAGTTATATAATGTACCAAAACTGTCCCTTCTCTTGTGTACGCTTCCCATCACCAATGTCCCCAGTTTCCCTCCATCTCCACGTCCCAGCCTCTATGGCAGGCACTTTCTCTCTTCTGTCTCTCTCTCTCTCCTCTTTTCTGCCTCTCTCTTTCCTCCCTCTCTCACTCTCCCCCCCCCCATTTTAAAACTGCTATATACTTAACATAAAATTTACTCTTGTAAGGTGCACTGTTCATGTGTTTTTCATTTTTTGGTTTTGGGGCCACTCCTGGCGGTGTTTAAGAGTTATTTCTGACCACTCAGGGGCTTGGGGGACCATATGGGATGCCTGCCTACCTGCTATTCTATCTGCAACTCTGGCCCCCAGATATTTTTCAGTATATTAACAGCTATGTGTATTCATAAAAGCATTACTAATTCACAGATATCAGTAATTTCAGAAAATTTTGTATCACTTCAAATGATAATAGCCCCTACTCAACCCAGCAGTCATCCCATCCTTTTATTTTCCTCCTCTGTAAACCCCTTGAAATCATCATCCATGTTTGTCCATAGATCTGCCTAGGCATATAATCTGTTTACACAGCACGTTTCCTTCTGTGTTCATGTTTGAGATTCCGACATGGCAATCATCAGTGGACCATATGGGGGTGGTGCTGGGGATACAACCAGGGTGAGCCCCATGCAAGGCAAGTACCCTAATTCCTGTTCCCTCAAGCCTGGGTGCATTTTTTTTTCTAGTATACTATTTAATTCTATTGTATTACCACGTTTGTTATGTTATCTTAAAATGATGGGTATTGGCTTGCTCTTCAAGTCCATGTTCTCCTTTGAACACACATTTAGCTTGCTTGTCTATTTCTTTACTGCCTGTGTTCTTTTTGCCCAGATCGGGCTGACCCAAGTTTGATATCTGGCATCCCATATGGTCCCTGAGCCCTGACAGGAGTGATCCCTGGACCCCAGAACCAGGAGTCAGTCCTGAGCACAGATGGATGTGGCCCCAAAACAAACAGAATAGAAAGAGTTTTCTGTGTGGAGAGTAGACTAGTGGCATTATATAGTGCAGAGGGATGTTCATTTAGGTAGGGGCATTTTTGCAGCATGTCTTCACATAAGCAGTTTCTTAATTCCTTGTCTCTGTCACTGTCACTGTCACTGTTCTCCCGTTGTTCATCGATTTTCTCGAGCGGGCCCAGTAATATCTTGGGCCGCTTTCCCTGCACGAGAGTGAGAAAGAGCAGGGCAGCAAGATGGACCGAGGAGAGGCTAGCAAGGGGAACAGAGAGAAAAGTGTAGAGGAATACAGGAGCAAGCATGTGGAGGGAGAGAGCCCAGGCTGCAAGATGGAGTGCAGAGAGATGAGCGGGAGAGACAGAAGGAGCAGGGAATGTGGGGAGTGTGAGACTAGAAAGGGGGCTCACCATCAAGTCTGCCGGAGGGGAAAGGGTGTTGCCCCATTCGCCCTCTCCTCTCTGGAAAGAAAGATGGCGGCCACATGGGAGCCTTGTGGACAGCAGGTATGAGCCGGGAGTGTGGGGGCGACTAAAACCTCATGGGAAGGGGGGCGTTTCGCTCCGCCCTTCACGCCCTACCGAGGCCACCAGTTGCCCCCCACGAGCGGCTCTCCAGCACGGCCACGACTCCAGAACACAGAAACCAATTTCTTAACTATCTGACTTTCAGTAGAAATACTTCCAGGGTCAATAAGTAAAATAGCAGAAATCCAAAACCAACATTTAATTCTTGAACCCAGCTGGAGAAAGCAAATCACTTCACAATGCTTTTTCAGCATGTCTGATTTGGGGGGGGGGGGTAAACTCTAAATAATAGTGGTGAATCTTTTATTGAAACAATCTAATCAAAGCGGATAGAGTGTTAACTAGAATTCATCTGCCTCACAGGGACGGGGAGGGGTGGGGGGTGGGGTTTTATTGGGGTTCTTCATGGGAAAAAATAAGTATTGGTAAAGGGAAATGTGTTTGATATTTGCATGACTGAGACATAAACCTGAAAGCTTTGTAACCTTTCCCACAGTGATTCAATAAATAAATTAAAAAAAAAAAAAAAAAAAAAAAAGAAAGGGGGCTCAGAGAGACTGGGGCAGACGCGAGGGGAGAATGGAATAAACAGCATCTGATCAATGATCTGGCTTGGCCCTCATTTCCTCCTCCGCCGTCTGCCCCATGACCCTGGCTGGGGGAGCGGCTCAGGGCCACCCCGAATGCAGGTGGCTAGGGGAAGAGCCGTCGGGGCCTCCCCTGGCCGCCTACCCCGCGAGGTATTATATAGGGATCCACAGTTTTGTTCCTTTTGGAGGCCATGGGGCACATTCAGTGGTGCTCAGGGCTTACTCTTGGTTCTGCACTCATGGATCACTCCTAGCAGTGCACGGGGGACCATATTCGATGCTGAGGATTGAACCCAGGTCAGCCATGGACAAGGCAAATGTCCTACCTGCTGTACTATTTCCCCAGTCCTGGGCTCCACAATTTTGAAGAACTACTGCTGCAAGATAATTAATCGGGGCGGGGGAGAGAGAGAAAAAGAAAAAGCTATTTAAAAACTAAAATGGGGTCTTAGTACAGTAAATGGGGTGCTTTCTCTGCATGTTGCCAACCTGAAATCAATCCTCAGCATCCCATGGGTTCTCTCCAACCCCACCAGGAGAGATTCCTGCGTACAGAGTATCGTATTGGGGTGGTGCTGGGGATCCAACCAGGGCGAGACCCATGCAAGGCAAACACCCTAATTCCTGATCCCTCAAGCCTGGTCTCTGAACACCACAGGTGTGGTCCCCAAAACCAAACAAAATGAAATGGGTACTAGAGTGGTTTAGCTAAAAATAGGCTGAACACGTTGTGTATGTAGGCAGCCTTGGTTAGTCCCTGACACTGCAAGGTCCCCCAAGCACTGCAGGAATGACCCCTGAGCACCATTCTGGAAAGTCCGGATAATGTCAAGTGTGGCCCAAATCCTCCTGCCCTCCCCCCCCCCAAAAAAATAGAAACTAGAATAATATACAAAGTTTTGGCTGGAAATGCTTTTAATCAAGGTAAGGTGTTTTCCAATTAAATAGTAAAATATTATGAAACATATCAGGAAAAAATTTCATCTAAAACAGGACTTAAATTGTCCACTCAAAACCGCTCTTCATCTGAGAAATTCAACACATGTGAGCATTACCAGAGATACTTCCAATTCATTAAACATTTGTTTTTGCATTTTGTTTTACATTCAGAAACTTTTTCCTCTTTTTTTTCCCAAAGTTTTAGCAACCACCACATATTATGCAATCCCATGTGGCGGTCTCCACACCCAGTTTAAGAAGCAAAGATCTAGAACATTAATTCGCTAATTGTAGTTCTATCTTCAAACAGTTATGAGATACAATTAGTATGAGGTATGTTTGAACCTTACTGCATGGTTTAACTGTATGCAAATGCTAGCCAGAAACTAATATTGGTAATTTCATATAAACTATAGTATGGTATGTTTGTAAATAATTTATTTGCCTTACATGAAGTCAACGCCACTTTGATGGCTCTACACCTGGACCTCCGAGCACCTCCAGGAGTGACCCCTGAGCACATAGCCAGGAGTTGAGTAAGTAGCCCATGAGCACCACCAGGCTGTGGTCCCACACCACCTCCACAACAAAAATTACAATTTAAGTGCTGGAGAGAGAGCTCAATGAGTGTATGCTCTGCACGCTGGAGGCCTGGGTTCAATCCCTAGCACCACAGGGCCCTGACCACCAGCAGGAGCAGCCCACAGAAAACACACAGTTTACCAGGGATTGTATGGCTCAGGTGGGAGGCCCTGGGTTTGATTCCTAGCACCACATGGTCCCCAGTACCTGCTGATGGGACCCAAGCACCACAAGGTGAGACCCCAAAACAAAATATACCAAGACTTTGTCACTAGTTACAGTTATAAGCCTTAAAGTTGGGAAGTTGGTAGTATAATTCAAAGTTGAAAATGCTTGGTAGCATAGTTCAAAGTTGGAAATGATAACCTACCATCTCTTCCCCCCCCTCCCCCCTTTGGGAATACTTTGGCTAATCATGGAATTTTATAGTTCCATACAAATTTAAGTAGCATTGTTTTTGTTTTTTTAAAAAAAGGTCACTGAAATTTTAATGGGTGTTGCATTTAATCTACATAGTACTTTGGATAGGACTTCATTTTAAGATGTTGATTCTTCCAATTCATGACTAGGAAATGTCTTTCCATTTCCCTTAAAATTGGGAGATTATCCAGGTGGAGCCATTGTAATAAAAAGAAAATTTAAAAGTGATAGCAAAAGAAACAGAACTAGTATGATTAAAAAAAAAACACAGCATCAGAGAACGAGAGACGTGACCCTTCTTGGTTCTGAAGGGAATCATAAGGCAAGGAAGACAGGAACCCTAGAAGCAGAAAAACACCCTCGGCCACAGCAAGTACATGGGACTTTGATCACCACTTTGCGTAAGAGAATTTTAATTCTGCCAACAACTCAGTGAACAAAGAAATGGAGATGCTCACTTTACCAGTTCCCCCATACTCCAGAAAAGAACAAAGTCCGGCTACACCAGTACTGCAGGTCAGATGAGACACGGTAGATAACTGACCTACCAAACCATAAGACAGTAACCTGCTATATTTATTTAAAGCTTGAATTCATTTCTTTTTATTCCCTCCCGGTTCCCCTTCACTGTAGAGATGATGAGGTGGAGAGGGGGGTTACTTGCACACTGACTTGGTAGTGGTGCTCACCAAGCTCTGCACACCTTCAGTTGCTGTGCTTTTCCTACTTACAGGGCCTTGACTGGTGAATAGGCACAGTTATGGCTGTGGTGCTCACCAGGGTTCACTGCGCTGCTCACACACATGCTCACCACAGGTCACTGCCTGGGCTTGGTTCCAGCATTTAGTTCTGGTGCTTAACAGGGTTGCAACCCTTTTTGTGGAGCTCACACACCTTGCTTGTGGTACATCCAAAACCACTTGAGATACAGGGAATAGATGTTCCTCATTAGCAGAGCTGCCTGGACCATGCTTAGTATGTGTGGGACACCAGAGATGTAAAGTCATGAACACACCGTGACAAAACAGGTGCTTGAAGCCACTGCCCTATTCATCAAGGTCCGACATCTGTATAGGTTTAAGTCATTATGTGTGTGGTCACTTGTGATAGTTGCAATAGAAAAACATATACTCACCTCAGTGTTTAAAGAACTCAGGGCTTCTGATAGTAAAACATACAAAAACATGTTTTTAACATCTCTTATCGGGTCCTTAATGATTCTAGTATATTAAGTTGTGAAAATGTGAGTATGGCCAACAAAAAGAGTAAGTAATTAAGAGAAAGCTACAATTAATTCTTCTACATAAAAACTCTAAATAAAGTTCATGAGTATTGTAAGAGTATTTCATCTTGGGGTGATTTCTAAGGCAGTATCTTGGGTTCCCATAAAAACAGAGCCGTCCGTCTCCGAAGAGAGAGCAGGAAGAGGACCGGAATCCTCTATTTCCAAGTCCTGTGGTTTCCCCTGCTCATAATCCAGGTTTGAATTATCTTTCACTTGCGTCTCTTGCTCTTCCAACTCCAAAGGTTTATCTGAAACTGGAGTGACAACTTCTTCATCTTCATTTTCATGCAAAAAGCTACAAATCATGTTGGGTCTGTAGGAGAAATGATTGTCCTTGATTTGCAGCCATTCCACACCACCTAATGGGGAGGATGAGAAGTGGGAGGTTAAACCAAGAAGGAAATGTGAGAAACGGATTTCAGTGACTTTATTACTTGTTTTTGTATGGGGGCTCTACGAAGTACTTGAAGGACCATGCTTTGCTGGACTCCTTCATGAAAAGCAGGTGCTTAGCCCTATGAACTATCTCTCTAATCCAAATCTATGCTTTTTAAGCAAACAAACAGAAAATGAAGCCCCCAAAGCCCCCCAACCCCAAACCCAACCACCTGACTCCTGCCCACTGTTCCCAGTGCCCACTAAGTGGTGGTTATCACCCACAATGGGAAACATTTAAATGACAGCAAAGGAATTGGAGAGATAGTACAGTGGTTAAGACATTTGCCTTGCACACAACTGACTACAGTTTGATCTCCAACACTCCATATAGTTCCCTGAGCCGTGCAGGAGTGATTCTGAGTGCAAAGCCAGGAGTAAGCCCTAAGCATAGCCAGGTGTGGCCCCCCAAACAAAATAAACACATAAATAAATAAATGATAGCCTAGCTTGTATCATATTTAGCTCCCTTTTAAAGTTCATTCTAGAACTTTAAGTACCTCCCCAGTATCTTTTTAGAATACTTAATGAGATCATTTGGGAATAAGAACAAAGATTTCTTATGTAGTTATGTGTTATTGTTGTAAAAATTATGATTAATGCACCTTTAAATATTTTTGTGCATTAAAATACAATAAATTTACAAAGCCATGAATATTTACCTCTAGTGTGATATTTACTAGAATTTCAATTTTATTTTCGAGCAATGAGTTTTTAAGACCATAAGTTATTTTCTTTCATCTTTATAAACGTGTGCCTGTTATGGGTCCAAGCATAGGTTTAGGGCCAGAGAGATAGTTCAGGGGTTAAGATGCCTACCTTTCATGAGGTCAACCCCAGTTCATCCCTGGCACCAGATAGTCCCTTCAGCACAGAGCCAGAACTAGTCCCTGAACACCTCTGGGTGTAACCAAAGTGTACTCCCACTGAAAGAACTGTATGGAAGACCAAGGAGATAAGGAGAGGGCTCAAAGGTCTAAAAAACATGCTGTGTATGCAAGAACCCTGGGTTTAAACAGAGAGGACCAGCACCACATGGTCCTCCCAGCACTGTTGGAGGACCACCCCACATACCCAAATAACCGCCAAAAAACCCAAACATGACTGTGGGGCATGGACAGGGTTATGGCTCAAATGGTAGAGCACATGCTTAGGAAAATAAAGCTCCTGAGTCTGATCCCTACACTACCCATCCCAGCACCGCCAGAACCACTAAGTAGCACCAAAATTCCTCCTTCTCAGAGATTAAAAAAAAAAAAAAAAGTAGAGACTGAGACTAACAAATGTGGTCCTAGAGTCCTTTCCTCACCTCTCACACAGTTTTAGTTATGAGCCAACTTCTATCCATCAGTTGCTAAAAGTGTCTAAGACCGCCTCTGAAACTATACACTTTGCCATTCCAGACCCACTCTCATTTCGAGGTTTGTTTGGACTTTGTGATACACCTGACAGTGGTCTGAGATTATTTCTGACTCCATACTCAGGGATCATTCCTGGGGGGGCTTGCACCTAACCTGCTGTACTATCTCTCAAGCTCCTAATGTTTCAAGTTTTTACTTTAACAAAAGCAAAAAAGTGGGAACTGAAGAGATAGTCCAGGGGTTAAGATGCTTGCTTTGCATGAGTTTTATTCCAGTTCATTACCCAGCGCACCACCAGAAGTAACCCCTGAGTTCAGTGCAAGGAGTAAGCCTGAGCACAGCTGGTGTGGTAGAGAAACAGAAAAGAGAAAAGTGCTGACTGAATTTCCAGGAGGTGGAAATCATAATAAATTTCTTTACAAACCACTCACAAATGGTTTCAATGTAAATCAGAGTTTTCTATTATGTCCTTAATGACCTCTGCTTATTAAGAGTTGAGCTGATTTTTAAATGTATTTTATCATCATAGAGCACTCTCAGTTTCATTATTTTAACATTACATAGTTTTTCTTTCAAAATATAAGAAACATCCTGGAAGCATTGTTACTGACAAAACTAATACTAAATCATTTATTTTCAGAGAATTATAAACTTACCTATATTTTCTTCACCTTCTTTCTTTTCTGTCAGAAGAGTTCTTGTCATGCTGAGCTTCTTCGTTGTGTGGCATTTGTATTTTAGTACCGTTTTATTACAGCCTTCTGCATCTACTACAACATAAAACGGAATCAATTATTATATTGCTGTCGCTGTCACTGTCACTGTCCTCCCGTTGTTCATTGATTTGCTCAAGCGGACCCAGTAACATCTCCACTGTGAGACTTGTTACTGTGTTTGGCATATCGAATACGCCACAGGTAGCTTGCTAGGCTTTGCCATGTGGGCGAGATACTCTCGGTAGCTTGCCGGGGTCTCCGAGAGGGATAGAGGAATTGAACCTGGGTCAGTCGGGTCGGCCTCGCGCAAGGCAAACGCCCTACCACTGTGCTACTGGTGAACACCATAAAATTAAGTTTCAATAATTTCGTTTAGTGTGTTAAATACTTCCTGTCAAAAAAGTGTATTAAGTGACAGCACAGAGGATAGGATGCTTGCCTTGCACACAATAAACCTGGGCACGATCACTAGCATCCCATATGGTCCCCTGAGGACCGCCAGAACGATCCCTGAGCACAGAGCCAGAAATAAGCTCTGATTATCACCAGATATGGCATAAAAACAAAAACAAAAAAAAAAGTGCATTAAGTATAAAACTGAACTTCTCTCCTGCTGCAAGCACTGGAAATGACAAGCAAACTACCTAGGTAAAGTGGATTCAGGAAAAAGAAAAACAAAGCTCTGAGTGGTGAGATTAAAGCTATAAACCTAGGCCAGAGAACTAGCTCAGCAGTACAGTGCTTGCCTTGCACATGGGAGGCCCTGGGTTTAATCCCCAGCAGCGAAAGAAAGAAACTTTACAGGTACCAGTTCTAAAGTAGAAAACTAGGAGCAGGAATTTGGATTTAGCCTATAGGATAATATGGTTTAAAATTCTACCACTCAGGCCAGGGAGCTAGTACAAAAGCCAAAGTGCTTGCTTGCTTTGCATGCAGCCAACCACAATTTGGTCTCTGGCACTTAAATGGTCCCAAGCACTGCCAGGAGTGATCCCAGAGCACAGAGCCATTAGTAGCCCCTGAGCTAACTGGATGTGACCTCAAAACCCCGCCCCCCAAAAATTTTACTATTCAATCAGAGATAGCTCAATGGGCTGAAATGCATGCTCTGCATGAGGAAGGTCCACATTCATCCCTAGCACCACACTGTCCCCTGACCACTACCAGGAGTGACTCCCGGACATTGAGCATCAAGCGGGGAGTAGCCCCTGAGCACAGGTGCGGCCAAACCCTTACACCCTCCCAAACAAAACCACATAACTGATCACTTTGTAGGACTGAATCTTTTTTTTTTTATTAGTGAAACACCATGAGGTACAGTTAAAGACTTACAAATTTTTGTGCTTGGGTTTCAGTTATACAATGATCAAGTACCCATCCCTCCACTAGCGCCCATCCTCCACCACCACAGGTCCCAGCATCCCTCCCACCCCCCATAACCCCCATCCCACCCTGCCTCTGTGGCAGGGCATTCCCCCTTGTTCTCTCTCTCTTCTTTTGGGTCCTGTGTTTTGCAAGAGAGGCATTGAGTGGCAGTCATGTTTGGTCTATAGTCTACTTTCAGCATGTTTCTCCCACCCTGGGAGGATCCTCACAACACCCTTTATTTGGTGCTCTCTTCTCTATCTGAGCTTCCTTTTCCCCTAGCAAGTGTGGCTGGCCTCTAAGTTATGGAGCAAAATTCCTGGTACTAATCTCAGCCACTCCTGGGTGTTAGTCTCCCATTTTGTTGCTTTATGTTCCCCAGATGAATGCAATCTTTCTGTGTCTATCCCGCTTTTTCTGACTCATTTCGCTTAACATGTAACACTTTCCATGTAGTACCACTTGTATGTAAATTTCAAGACTTCATCTTTTCATGAATCTTAACAGTAAAGTCTAACATATCCACACAGGCAATTGTGTTTCAAAGTACATGTCTTAGAGTCATCTTCAGGTATGTGTACAAGGAGACCCAGAAGTATCACGGCAGCATTCTTGCAGTGAATGGCTGAGCAGAGCTTAGCACAGCTAAGAACGTGGGCTCTGGGCTGGGCAGAGAGCAAAAAGGAACAGTATGCTGAGGCCTGGGTTTGATCCCTGGTTTCCTTGAGCATCACTAGGTATAACCCAAAAGCAAAAAAGCTCTATAGGCTGGGAATATAGCTCAGTAGTAGAGCAGATGGCTCACTCTGTGAGTCCCCAGATGTGATCACTGACAACACTAAGGAGGGAAGGGGCAGGAAGTCTTTGGGCCAAACCTGCGAAGTTCAAAATTCTGGTTCTGCCACCTACTTTGTGAGGGAGCCAGGACATGGTTTAGTGGAAGAGCACCCGACTATAACAGGGGTGAGCTTTAGGTTTGATCCCCAGCAAAGCACATACATACACGCTGAAAGAGGTATCTATTTCAAAGGGCTGTGAGGACTAAATGAGGTAGCACATGCATGTAGTATTCAGAACACTCCCTGACATATAGAAAGCACATGATAAATATCAGCAGTCAGTAATAATTAACTGAAGATTTTACTGTTCTGTAACATATTCTGCAGTCCTCAGGGAGTACTCTCAGCTTTGTGCTCAGAAGTTACCGTAGAAGGACTCAGAGGGGCAACTGCAAGTCCAGAAATAACTGGTAAAACAAGAAATTCTGTCCTTTAACTGGATTGTGACATAGTCATAAATGGAATACTAAGCAATGCAAAAAATAATAACCTAGCTTCACGCCCTACCGAGGTCACGAATTGCCCCCCACAAGCGGCCTCCGGCATGACCATGGCTCCAGTGGCACATGGAGTTAATGCAGAGCCCAGCAGCTTGCGGCAGAAAAGTGAATGGACTATGCATTAATCCACGGTACTATGCTTCCCCGGGAGGGAAGGGGTGTCGCTCCCTTCCACCTCTTTCCCCCTGGGCAGCAAGATGGCGGCCACCTCAGAGCATTTTGGAAAGCAAGGTATGAGCCAGCAGTGACGGAGCAACTGCAACCTCATGGGAAGAGGGGGTTCCCGGCTCGTCCTTCATGCCCTACCAAGGTCATGAGTTGGCCTCCATGAGCGGCTCTCCGGCATGGCCATGGCTCCAGAGCCACAGAAACCAATCTCATAATTATCTGGCTCTTGGCAGAAATCCTTCCAGGCTTAATAAGTAAAATATCAGAAATCCAAAATCACGTAGCCACGACATCATATGGTTCTCATAACCAGCTGCAGAAAACAAATTATTTCACAATGTCTTTTCAGCAGTTCTGATTGTTGGGTGTAAACTCTAAACAATAATGGTACATCTTTTGTCAAAATAATGAATGTAATCAAAGTAAATAGAGAGTTATGTAGAATTCATCCGCCTCACAGGCATTGGGAGGGGTGGGAGGGAGGGTATATTGGGGTTCTTGGTGTTGAAAAAATAATACTGGAGAAGGGAAAGGTGTTTGATCATTGCATGACTGAGACTTAAACCTGAAAGCTTTGTAACTTTTCCCACAGTGATTCAATAAACAAATATAAAAAAATAAATAAAAACGTGGTGTTAAAAAATAATAATAACCTAGATTTATACAGATCTATTTTTATCTATCTAAAAATACATGAGAGATGGGAGCAATAATACTGCTGGTAGGGCATCTGTCTTGCACACAGCCAATCTTCGTTCAATTTCCAGCATCCCACAGGGTCCCCTGAGATACTCTAGGAGAATCTCTGAGCACAGATCTAGGAGAAGTCCTGAGCACCATTGAGTGTGACCCAAAAACAAAATAAAATAATAATAATAATAACATAACTAAAAACAAAAAGATATGCTTTACTTTAAAATAAAATTGTTTGTGATATAATTTATATCTAATTTGAAAATGGGACCAGAGAGAAAATACAGAGGGTAGGGCTTATGTCTTGCATACAATGACTTGGGTTTTTTTTTTTTTTTTTGCTTTTTGGAAAGCTCAACCTGCTCGCCTCCAAGGGGCCCTGGCGAGGACAGCCAGGCACGGGGGCAGGAGCTTTCCTCCCGGCCCCGACCAGAACTCCGGCAGCCGAAGACCTCCAGGACCAGCCACCACCATGCTGAGACCACTCTCCACGCACATGAAGGTACTGGCAGAGGGACAAAGCCACGTGGGTTCCGGGGCCGAGATCTACAAGCCTACTTGGATTGGGGCCGAGCATCCTCCACCCAGATCCTCCAAATTCCAGTAGGCGGGGGTCATACCCACCAACTGGCCCCCTGGCGCCGTGTAATCCCATCAGTGGCCAAGACTCAGAGACTATAAAAACCAGCTCCCAGAACCGCATTCGCGGCCGCGTGACATCTTATTATGACATCTTATTATTTCATTCCTACTTTGGACAAACTGGCAGACTACCGAATGTAGCCTGCCCACACGGCAGAGTCTGGCAAACTCCCTGTGGTGTACCCAATATGCCAAATACCAGTAACAATGATGGGTCTCATTCTCCTAAAGAGCCTTGACTATAATCTCAGGGCTAGGATGAAGGAGACGTTACTGGGGCCTGCTCGAGGCAATCGACGAATAACAGGATGATTTGTGATTTGTGATTGCTTTTTGAGTCACACCCGGAGATGCTCAGGGTTTACTCCTGGCTCATGCACTCAGGAATTGCTCCTGGCGGTGCTCAGGGGACCATATGGGGTGCTGGGAATCGAACCTGTGTCAGCCATGTTGGCTGCGTGCAAGGCAAACACCCTACCCGCTGTGCTATCGCTCCAGCCCCGACAATGACTTGGGTTTGATGCCCAGTGCTACACATGGTCCCCCATGTCTCACCAAGAGTTATCCCTGAGCATAGAAACAGGAACAAGTTCCGAGCACCACCTGGTATGCCCCCAAAAAGCAAACAAATATTGAAAATATACCCTAAATGCTGTTTATGAGTATGTACAAACATGTATATAAAATCAGGTACAGGAAAGAAAACCACCAAAGTCAAGAGTTATTACCTCTGAAGGTAGAAAGAATTCCTGGGAATACATTTATTGAGTTGTTTTTGGGGGGCTGGGGAGGGGGCTGTTTGGGCTCAGGACTTACTCCTGGCAGTGCTTTGGGGACCATACATAGAGCTGGAGACCAAACTGAGGTGCAAGGCAAGCATCTTACCTCAAACTATCTCTCCTACCAAAGGGAATAAATTTGAGAAAATGGAACCAAGGACTTCAAATGCAACTGGAATGTTTCATTTTCTTTCTTTTTGACTTTATTCCTGAGTTACACTAGGCAGTGCCCAGGGCCTACTCCCAGCATGGTACTCAAGGGATTTTGCAGGGCTAGGGTCTGAACACACAGAGAACACGGCATCGTTCCAGTATCTCCCCAGCCCAAATATATGAAATGATTCTTAGCTATCGGCCAAAAATGGTGGAGAATATGACACCAATCCTAGACAGATAAGTACATGAGATGTTTGATTTCCTGTTTTGTGTTTTGAGCCACACCGGACTTGCAAAGAGACGATTACTGGCTCTGTGTTCAGCAGTGACCCCTAGGCGTGCCCAGGGGGACTGACCAAATGTGGCATTGAGAATTCCAACCAGGGTCAGTCACAGACAAGGCAAACATCTTATTTTCTGTCCTATCTCTTCAGCCCAAGATGTTTAATTTTCATGGGAGGGGGGGGGCGTTCCGGTCCGTCCTTCACGCCCTACCGAGGTCACCAGTTGCCCCCCACGAGCGGCTCTCCAGCACGACCACAGCCCCAGAAGCACAAGGACTTAATGCAGAACCCAGCAGCTTGGAGCAGAAAAGTGAACGGGCTATGCGTTAATCCAGGCCATCATGTCTGCCCGGAGGGGAAAGGGTGTTGCCCCATTCGCCCTCTCCTCTCTGGAAGGAAAGATGGCGGCCGCATGGGAGCCTTGTGGAGAGCAGGTATGAGCCGGGGGCTGGGGGTGACTAAAACCTCATGGGAAGGGGGGCGTTCCGGTCCGTCCTTCACGCCCTACCGAGGCCACCAGTTGCCCCCCACGAGCGGCTCTCCAGCACGGCCACAGCCCCAGAAGCACAAGGACTTAATGCAGAACCCAGCAGCTTGGAGCAGAAAAGTGAACAGACTATGTTAATCCAGGCCGTCATGTCTGCCCGGAGGGGAAAGGGTGTTGCCCCATTCGCCCTCTCCTCTCTGGAAAGAAAGATGGCGGCCGCATGGGAGCCTTGTGGACAGCAGGTATGAGCCGGGGGTGTGGGGACGACTAAAACCTCATGGGAAGGGGGGCGTTCCGGTCCGTCCTTCACGCCCTACCGAAGTCACCAGTTGCCCCCCACGAGCGGCTCTCTGGCATGGCCACGACTCCAGAGCACAGAAACCAATCTCTTAATTATCTGACTTTCAGTAGAAATACTTCCAGGGTTAATAAGTAAAATAGCGGAAATCCAAAACCAACATTTAATTCTTGAACCCAGCTGTAGAAAGCAAATCACTTCACAATGCTTTTTCAGCATGTCTGATTTGGGGGGGGGGGGGGGGGGGGTAAACTCTAAATAATAGTGGTGCATCTTTTATTGAAACAATGAATCTAATCAAAGCAGATAGAGTGTTAACTAGAATTCATCTGCCTCGCAGGCACTGGGAGGGGTGGGGGGTGGGGTTTTATTGGGGTTCTTCATGGTAAAAAATAAGTATTGGTAAAGGGAAATGTGTTTGATATTTGCATGACTGAGACCTAAACCTGAAAGCTTTGTAACTTTTCCCACAGTGATCCAATAAATAATTTTTTTAAAAAAAGATGTTTAATTTTAATGTTAACTGTATTAAAGTGAGTTTAAAATAATTGTAAAGTATGTTTTTTAAAAAGTTGCTTTAGCGGGGCTGGAGCAATAGCACAGCGGGAAGGGCATTTGCCTTGCACACAGACGACCCAGGTTCGATTCCCAACATCCCATATGGTCCCTGAGCATTGCCAGGAGTGATTCCTGAGTGCATGAACCAGGAGTAACTCCTGTGCATCGCAGGGCGTGACCCAAAAAAGCAAAAAAAAAAAAAAAGTTGCTTTAGGGCTGGGAATGTGGCTCAGTAGCAGAGCACCTGCTCTGTGTATGTGAGCACACAAACTTTGGGTTTGATTCCTGACATCACCAAAAAAAAAGTTGATTTATCACAGCAATTACTTACCATGTTCAACATCCTCTTCAAATATAACGCAGGTCCCAAGAGCATCTGCAGAAAAATTTGAAGACAGCTTGTTAAAAATAATAATAAAAAAAAACCTACTTAGAGCAATTTTCTCTGAAAAGCATAATTTGGAAGATGGGGAGGTTGGTGCCTGAACTGGTGGTAGGAGGATTATTCCTGGCTCTGTGCTTGGGAGTTATTCCTGGCAGTGCTCAGAGGACAAAACAGTTCCAGGTATCAAAGTACTGCCAGACAAGCGTCTTAACTCATGTATTATCTCTCCAGTCCTGAAAAGCTGGGAAGCATCCAGTCATGCTCAGGGACTATTATTGTGTACTTTCATATATAAATACATAAAATATATTTTTGTATTTTATTTTTAAATTATATTTTTCTATTTTAATATATTTTATTGGGCAGAGCAATAGCACAGCGGGTAGGGCGTTTGCCTTGCACATGGCCGACCGGGTTTGATTCCTCCCTCCCTCTCAGAGAGCCCAGCAAGCTACGAAGAGTATCTCACCTGCACAGCAGAGCCTGGCAAGCTCCCCATGGCATATCTGATATCCCAAAAAAAGTAAAAAATCTCACAATGAAGATGTTACTGGTGCCTGCTTAAGCAAATCGATGAACAATGGAGGACAGTGCTATAGTGCTAATATATTTTCTTAAAAACATTTTATTTATTTTTAAAAATATACATTTTTTTTCTCCAGGCAACACTCACTGGCATGCAGGTATTACTCCTGACTCTGAACTCAGGAATCACTCCTGGCAGTACTTACATGACTGTATGTGGTACCAGGAATTGAACCCAGGTCAGCCACGTGCAAGGCAAACACTACCCGCTATACTACCTCCCCAATTCCCTGAAATGAATATTTTAAAAACTGGTTTGGGGCCCACAAGCTAGCTCGCAGGCTGACAGCATGCTTTGCATTCAGGAGACCTGCCTCTGGCACCAAATAGTCCCCAAGCAGCAGGTACAGCTCCTAAACACAGAACCAGGAGTAGTCTAGCACTGCCAGGTGTGACCCAAATACAAAGAATTACTTTCAGGACTGGAGAGATGATACAGCAGGTACAGCACTGTTGGATATCAACCGTGTTTTAGGCTTCACAGGTAAATTGCCCCTTTCCTCCTCCCAGAAAGCTAACCATGCCCTTGCAAGCATCCCTAATTTGGTTAAAGTCTACAACCTCTCCTTTCTGTTGGATATTAACCCTAAGTGCTTTAGGCTTCATCAGTGAATTGCCCCCTTTCTTCCTCCCAGAGAGGCTTAACATGCTCTTGCTAGCATACCTAATTTGCCTAAAAAGCTCTTGCTAACATACCTAATTTGGTTAAAGTTTATCCTTAACCTTTCCCTTGTTATTTTACCTCTCATTGTCACAGTTCTCCAAGTCAGTCTTGATTACTTATAAGCCAAAACTTTCTGGTAATTCTGCGCTCTGTATTTGTATTGCTTTGTATATGAAGTGTATTTTTATACCTGCTTTTCTATTTCCCCTATAACTTTTTTATATTTCACTATACAGCAATGTTCTTTGGTTAAACACAGAAGGATCATGAATGCTATGCTCCTAATATTAGGGAGTTGACTGACTCTGAAATATATCTGCTCCTGGGCATAATTACTTGGTCATAATTACTTGACTCAGGCTTCAGTTGCTGTAGTTCCTAACATACCCAAAAGGGCGATCCGGCTGTGAGACTGGGATGGACCTGGGCGAGTGGCAAAGCTACCTGACATCAAAATGGGACATTCTAGAAAGCATAAATGTATGGTCTTGATGCAAGCTGTTACAGCCTAAGAGATAGGACCCCATGGGGAAGGACAAGCTGAACTGGCCTGAGGACTTAGTCTGGGATTTACGGTAAAAGCCTTGCTTGCTCTCAGAGCCCAGAGAACTAAGTGTTAAAAGCCTTGCTTGCTCTCAGCCCAGAGAACTAAGTGTTGGGATCTTTGTCTCTTACAGTGTTTAGCCAAACAACTGCAAGTATTGATAACTTATACAACTAGAGGGAAAGATAAAAGCAATGTACATGTCCTTGGGAGACAGAGTGTCTTCTTAAGTTGATCTCCCCAAGAGAATTTCCTCTGCCAAATGTTTATCTATATAAATGACCAATCACACCGAAGGCACACAAGCGTCCCAGCAGCAGCCCCCGTGATTTACTGTGTGAACTCACAGGGCATTTGTCTTACACATGCCCGAACCGGGTTCGACTCCTGGTATCCCATATAGTCCCTGAGCACCACCAGGAGTAACCCCTGAGCATCACCAGGTATGACCCTCCCCCACAAAAAACATGTTTTTGTCTACCTGACATCCATCTTACCTTCATACTCTCCAGCAAAGACATAGCTGTCCACTTGCAGAATGGGCCTCTCAGTGTCAATTCCCTGCAACAAAATAATCATTAGAGGGAATGTGGCTCAGTTGGTCAAGCACATCACAGACACACAGACACACAGAGTTAAAAGCCTTCTCTGTGAAACCGTGCTTCCAAACACACACACAGATACACACAGAGCTAAAAGCCTCCGTGAAACCTTGCTTCCAAAGAGACAGCTCTTGAAAACAGGGGATCCAAGCACAGTTTCCTCACTTACTATCATATGTTTAAACGTCTTTGATGGTAGCACTTATAACCTGTAGGCTACTAAGACCTGTATCAATCAACACCCTCTTAGAAAGTTTTGTCAGGAGAGCGAGATTTAATTTTGTTTTGTTTGGGAGCTACAGGCAGAGAAGCTTTTGGCTTACTCCCGGCTCTTTACTTAGGGATGACTCCTGGTGGGGCTCCAGGGAACCATTTGAGGTACTGGGGATTGAACCCAGGTTGACCAAGTGCAAGGCAAATTGCTATACTCACTGTACTATCTCTCAGGATCACAAGGGCAGGATTTTATTTGTTTATTTATTTTTGGCTTTTTGGGTGACATTCTGCGATGCACAGGGGTTACTCAAGACTATGCACTCAGGAATTACTCCTGGCGATACTCAGGGGACCATATGGGATCCTAGGAATGGAACCCGAGTGGGTTGCATGCACGGCTGCGTGCACAGGTAAGGCAAATGCCCTACCCTCTATACTGTACTTACCAAGGGCAAGATTTTAAGGTGATAAAACTCATGATACCACAGCTCCAGGGCGGAGAGTGCCGTGGATAGAGGGAACATAAAGTCTGGGAGCCCTGAATGTTAGCCTCCATCACTTCTTGCAATTTCCCCTCTAGGGATCTAGGAATGCTCTCCCTTCCCTTCGTATTTCTTCTCCCCTTACTTTATCCAGTTTTTCAAAATCCATCATAATTGCTCTCTACAAAATTAAAATACCACTTCTGGGGTCAGGAGGCCGTCTGTCCTCCATGTGGCTGGCCCAGGTTTGACACCCCCCTCCCCCCCCACACCCTATGTGGGTCCTCAGAGCCCACCAGGAGTGATCCCTGAGCACAGAATCAAGAGTGAGCCCTGAGCACAGCCCGATGTGAAGAAAAGAAGGGTCGGGAACGATAAGCATAGCGGGTAAGGCACTTGCCTTGCAGGCAGCCAATGTAGCATCCCATATGGTCCCCCTAGCACTGCCAGGAGTGATGTCTCAGGAGTGAGCCCAGGCCATCACCCGGATGTAGCAGGCCCCCAGCCCCGAAAAGAAAAACAAGACAAAAGACAGACTACCTCTTCCAAATCTTCTCCATTTGAGGAAGATGCATCCTCCCACCGGCTCCCAGAGTCGTGGTTCCCCACCCCCCAGCCTCCCACCACCCCGCAGACTTGGATGTTCTTCACTGCTTTGTTAACACAGGGGGGGAAAAAAACCCGCCAGTCTCTGGGGAAAGGCACTCACCCCCAAAGGACCTCCCCCAATTAAATTCTTGCCATTTCATTCTGCGCCCACCTTCGAATAGAAGGACTCACCAGGATCTTGCATTTATTCTCACATTTTGAGAGGAAATCCGAATCAATAATCCCGGACAATTCCACCAGAACCAACTGCTCCTGGGAAGGAGGGGTGACAAGCAGCAGGCGGTGAACACGGACACCCCCACGCACGCAGTGACCCCACCGGCGTGCAATGCCCTGCAAAGAGCTGGGGCACAGGCGGTCCCCGCGGGTCGCTGCCCTGCCCACCGCCAGCCGCGAGCCGACCGGGCAGAGGCCACCGCGCCTCCCCGGGCCAACGCGCTCGGGGTCCCGCGGCGGCCCCTACCCCCACCCCCACCCGCTTCCACACAGCCGGCTCAGGCCCCGCGGCGCAGCTCTGCGGAATCGCACTCACTACCTCCTCTTCCTCCTCCTCCTCCGCATCCTCCTCCGCATCCTCCTCCTCCTCCTCCTCCTCCTCCTCCTCGGCGCCTCGCTCCACCGTAGCCGCTGCAGCCGCCATGATCGCGCCGGTCCGCGCGGCCTGCGCGTCACTGGCCACGCCCACGCAGCGCCGCCATCTTTTGTCCGGGCGGAAGCGGCTCGGCTCGCGCCCTGCCAGGATCAGAGATGGCTGCGCCCACATTGCTCCCGCATGCAGCGTCGCCCTCCACCCACTTCCGGGCTCTTACTGGGAGCCACCTGGAGGCTCTGGACTGGGAAGAGCTGCGGGGGCAAGGGGCCGACTTGAAGACGTAACCGGGACGGAATGATAGCACAGCGGGGAGGGAGTTTGCCTTGCACGCAACCCACCCGGGTTCGATATCCGGTATCCCATGTAGGCCCCCCGGGGGCATCGCCGGGTGGGACCCAAAAATAAGAAGTGGGAACTGGTCAAAAGTCTGCAGGAGCTCCTGCACTCGTGCACACACAGGTCCGGCCAGCTCCCCAGAGCATCCGTCAGGTACAACTCACACACATTTGGTCCGCAGAGAACTGCGGTGAAAGCATATAATTGTAGCATATAATAAGTGGAGAGGGGGAAAGGGGGAAAACGGAGTCGGAGTTGCTAAGTGATAATGGAAGCGCTTCGAGGATTTGCACCATCCACAAGGTGGAGCCACTACACCCAAGTCCAAAACCAAGAAGCAAAATTTTGACTTCTCCACATCCAGAGCAATCCAACAATTGTCCTGGTTGTCAATGAAAGATATAAATTGTTATTTCTTGGGAGGTGGAAGAGATGCTCAGCACACAATGCCTACAGTGTATAAGGGAGGCCCAAAATCAATGCCCCGCACTGCTTGATCCCCCTAGAACCCCAAGTGTGAACCTGTGTGTGTGGCCTTCCAAAAAACAAAATTGCTAAGGGAATACAAACAGAACCAGGGAAGTGAAATTTTAAACAGAAGTTTCTTGATGAAATCTCATTTAGTTTTATGATTAAGCAACAAATGATTTCTCTGGGATGGTCCTAACCATGACCTATGAGGTCTGATACATCTAGTTCGGTGGCTTTATTAGCAACAATGCATTATGCATATTAGGTATTGTGAGGATTCAATGAGGTGCTTTGTAGGAAAGTATGATCTGAAACTGAGATTATCTTAGCCAATAATGTATTTCACACAAGTTGGCTATGGCATAATCAAGTAATCAAAACTTCACATGACTGCTGTGCCCTCATCCATTGCTTCCTGACAAACTGAGTGACGCTGAGACTGTCTAAACACTGTCCTCTGGTTGTTATGAAACTAAGGAAGCAAAAAGCACCCTTGGTGCCCTGGTGAGGTGGGTGGGTGTTGGAGACTTGTACTTTGGATATGTGCCAAAGCCCACCCTGGAACACTTTTTTTTGTCTTTAATTGAAGAGGCTTACGAATACCAAGGCTCTGATGAGAACTCCAGACCACTGCTCAAGCAGAACTGGTCAGTAGAAATAGTGCTGTGGAATTCTCCCAAAGGCACAGAGTGATAGTACAGCAGGTATGGCATTTACCTTGCACATGAGGCCGACAAACCAGGGTTCCGGGGCTGGAGGGATAACACAACAGGTAGGGTGTTTGCCTTGCACTCCAGTAGACCTGGGTTTGATTCCCAGCATCCCATATGGTCCCCTGAGCACCACCAGGAATAATTCCTGGGTGCAAAGCCAGGAGTAACCCCTGTGCATTGCTGGGTGTGACCCAAAATACAAACAAAAAAAAAAAACAGGGGTTCAATCCCCCGCATCTCATATGGCCCACTGAGCACTGAGAGGAATGATTCCTGAAAGCAGAACCAGGAATACCTCTGAACACTGATAGGTGGTAACCCCAAAACAAAATAGCTCCTCCTGAAAGTTTTTTCTTCAAGCCGTGTTCTCCCTTGAACTGTATTTTGCTTGCTTGTCTTTTTATTTTTTTGTTTATTTCACTCAGGACACACCTGCATTCTCACTTGAATACATTTCCCCTCGATGTATTCTCTTACATCTAAGTTTTATTCTCTAAGAAATACCTTGATTTCACTATTTTACCTCCCCTGAATTTCTTTTCTCTGAAGGAAAGGCAACAAACCCAGAAAGCTCGTTCCTTGGTTAGGACTGGCTAACTCGCTAACTTTCCTGCATAGAGCAATCCCAGTATGAGCCTGGGATTCCCTAAGGAAGACGGTGGCAGGAACCATCTCCCACGCTGTGCAGAACAGGTTGACTCGAGGTACAGCCTGACAGATGCCTCATGGCAGGAAACAGACATCTCTGCTCTACAGGTACTCACAGAAGACTTGATTAGTCCTGACCCAACGCAGGCATTTCCCAGAGCACTGATGGCTGAGGTGGGTTGAGCAAACAGGTGGAGGCACTCGTGAGTCTAACTCTCTCTCCATTTTACTAAGCCACCAGCAACAAAATGAATATAAAAGAACATAGTCTTCTCCACAGTGGAAAAGGTGGAAAGAAACATGTGTTCAAGGGAGAACACATCCTTAAACGAATAAGCAAGAAAAGAGATGGATTCATGTCTGGGGAGAACATTACTTGGGGAAGCAAAGCCCATATGACTTTCAGGAGGGGGTTTTATACAATTCCTCCCAATGATTCCCCCAAAGCTCTATACATACTTACAAGTTCATCTGGGTATTGTTACACGTTCTTATAATCTCATCATGACCTTTAGATTCTTCTGTAGCTTCTCTTTTTTTCTAGGTGGTCTGCCCTTCTTTGAATGGAACTTCGGGTTTCTGCATCAGGTGGGGCCTCATTTTCTGCTCTCCAAAGAACTCAGGGTTTTCATTTCAAAGGGATGCTGTCTTCATGGCTTTGCACTACTTCAGGTCTGGGCCATCTCATCTTAGTCTTATTATTTCCCAAAAGTACATTACCAGGCCCACCTACCTATCTGCCTGCAACAAAATGACATAAATTATAGATTTTATTAGATTCAAGGGAAGATAAAGAGGGCTGTGGAGATAGAACAGAGCTTGAGGCATTCATCTTGCATTCACTTGCCCCCAGTTTGAACCCTTGGCACCAAATATGGTCCATAGAGCACCACCATATGTTACTCCTGAGCACCCTGGGGTATAACTCCTTCAAGAAAAAGTAAAGTAGTGCCTCAACACAGAGAGAGAGAGAGAGAGAGAGAGAGAGAGAGAATGTAGCAGGTGTAGAAATATAGTATGGGGGTAAGATTTGCATATGACTAACCCTGATTCAGTCCCTGGTACCACATGATGCCCTGAGCATTGCCAGGAGTGATCCCCTAACCCAATCACAGACCCCAGACACCACCAGGTGTTGTTCCTCCCCCCCCCCACACATACACAAACCCGAATGGGAGACAGGCAGATAGTACAAGGCTTAACCCATTTGCCTTGCATGTACAGAACCCCAGTTTGATCCTGTTTCAATCCCTGGCACCAAAACTAACCATAGAATCAGAACAGGGAAATCATTTAAGAGGAATAATGTTGGGAGAACTGAGCAGGGAGTAGCTCCAGCACCACTGGGTGTGGCCCCCAAACAAACAAAACAGAATGAATCATCAAAATCTGCTCTATTTATACAACGGAATCTTACTTGTCAATATAAAGGAATGAAGTCAAGATACATGCTACAACATGGGTGAGCTTGAAAATATGATATGAAGCCAGACACAAAGACCATTGTTATCTTTTGAATGATTCCATTTATATAAAATGTGCAGAATAGGCAAATCTGCAAGTAGAGGAGGCAGCTTATTGGATTTCCTCAGGGCCTGGGAGCAAGGGGACAGAAGTCTGACTGCTGCTGGATAAGGGGTTGGTAATGAAATCAGTGGTGGTTGTCACGCAGCTAAGTGAGTGCACTTACAGCCCTAAATTGTACTTTTTAAACTGTATACTTTTGAGGGTGAATTTTACTCTATAAGGAGTTGTGAGGGCCAATTCCAGTGTTGCTTGGTGGCTACCAAGACTGAACCCAGGGGTGTAGCAAGGGGTGTTACGTGGGTTGGGGGTCACACCTGGAGTAATCTCCAAGATGTGAGGCACATACTCTACCACTTAAGCTACATATCTTCTGGCCTATAAATTATAGTTGGTGGAGGGTCCCCCTTTGGGCCATTCCCAGGGCCTATTCCTGGCTCTGGGCTCAGGAGCGACCCCTGGTGGTGCTTAGGGGACCATATGCAATGCCTGGGATGGAATTAGGATCAGTCCCTGAAAGGCAAGTGCCTTACAAACTTTACTATCTCTCCGGCCCTATGAATTTTATTTTAATAAGGCTATAATTATTTGTTCTATTTTTTAGGGTCACATCCAACAGTGCTCATGGGTTACTTCTAATTCTGTGTTCAGCGGTCACTCCTCTTTTCGGGGAAGGTTTTGGGCCATACCCGCCAATGCCCAGGGATTACTCTTGGCTCTGCACTCAGGAATCTCCTGCTGGTGCCGTGGGGACGATATGGGATGCCAGAGATTGAAAATGGATCAGCTGCATGCAAAGCAAGTGACTTTGCAAGCTGTACTACCTCCCCGGCTCCTCAGGGGTCACTCCTGGTGATGCTTAGGAAACATACAGGATACAAGCCACATGCAAAGCAAGATCCTTAACCTTTGTGCTACCTCTCCAGCCCCAAATCTATTATTTAAAAAAATTATTTTTTTAATCGAATCACTGTGAATTGCAAAGCTACAAAGATATTTACAATTGAGCTTCAGGCGTTCAATATTCCAACACCTAGTGTCCACTACTCTCCACCAATGTCACCAAGAAACAACTAGTTTTAAACTGAACAAGTTAGAAAAAATTGTTTCAAACAATTAAAGATTAGAAACTCTTTGAGGGGCTGGAGAGATAACACAGCGGACAGGGCGTTTGCCTTGCACACGACGGACCTGGGTTCGATTCCCAGCATCCCATATGGTTCCCTGAGCACCACCAGGAGTGACTGCTGAGTGCAGAGCCAGGAGTAACCCCTGTGCATCGCCGGGTGTGACCCAAAAAGAAAAAAAAAACTCTCTGAATGAGCGAGTTGACTTCTGGTTATCTCTTATTTCTTTTC